AGAGTATCAGGCCCGTGCTGTCTGCCTGAGCTTCCCGTAAGCACCAAGTAGCCTTCTCCGGTACATTTCAGGTTGTTTATTCAGAGTGACTGTCCACTTTAAGTCATAAAAGTGGTTCTGAAAGCTGTTTCTTTGGAAGGAAGGGAGACAAGAGAAAGACGAAAGAAAACATTTTCAGGCTATGAGGTACAGTAGAGCAGGTCAAAATTCCTTAAAGTCTAGGCAGCTATGAATACAGGTCAGGATTTAAGAAGAAAGTAGTGAGTCCTAATACAATTCTAGCTTTGTAATCAATTAGGTGGGTTTTTTTTGTTTGTTTGTTTTTTGAGACAGAGTTTCTCTGTGTAACAGCCTTGGCTTGTCCTGGAACTCACTCTGTAGACCAGACTGGCCTTGAACACACAGAGATCTGCCTGCCTCTGCCTCCCAAGTGCTGAGATGTGCCATCACTACCTGGGACCATTAAGTGGATTTTTTTATGTCACTTTTAAGATATTGTGTTTTTAAGGTAGTTTTAGAACATAGGCAGTTGTTTAAAAAAATACACAAAGAAACCCCGTACAGAGAGATCCCCACACCACAGATATAGTGGTATCTGTGCCATGCGTGTCTGTGGAGTTCCGTGCTGTTTCATTGTGCACACAGACCTGTACTAACTTAGAGGGGCAACTCTTCATCTTGGAGCTTTCCCTCTGCTATTCCTTTTTAGTCACAGCTGTCATCCCACTGCCAGCATCCTGCCTTCCTCGACTGCTCCTCCTTGCACGAAATCTCTGGCTCGTCCCTCCACTCTTCTGAAGATGCCAGGGCTATTCTACTGTTAGTCAGGCGGATTCTAGTTACATTTTTTTCTATGGTGGTTGCTCAGTTATCTTCTGTTTTTCTTTATTGCTGTTGAGAAATGAGCCCAGGGCCTCACGCATAAACTCTACCACTAAGCTATGTCCCCAGATGTTCTCTTTCTCCTTACTTTGCCCCTCCTTCCTTTATTCCTCCTTTTCTGTCTTTTTTAAATGCATTTGGGGGCTGGAGAGACGGCTCAAGGGTTAACAGTGCTGCTTGCTCTTTCAGAGGTCCTGAGTTCAATCCCCAACAACCGAATGGTGGCTCACAACCATCTGTAATGAGATCTGGTGCCCTCTTCTGGCCTGCAGGCATATATGCAGCACAGCACTGTATATATAATAAATAGATAAATCTTTTTGAAAAATTACATTCTGTGTGTGTGTGTGTGTGTGTGTGTATGCACACAGGTGTACACACACTTAGGTATGTGCATGCCACAAGCACTTGTGGAAGTCAAAATACAACCTGCAAGCTTTTCTACTGTGTGAGATTGAACTCCAGTCAGGCAGCAAGCAGTCTTACCTACTGAGCCACCTCCACCTCCACCTCCCAGTGTTACCTACTAAGGGCACTCCCATCCCCGCTTTTGATGTTGTTGCTTTCAGTTGCTAGTAGCATTAACTCAAGCTAATTTGTGGTTGAGATTTTTTGTTGTTTTTAATGTCTTTGTCTCCAGGGTCCTCGTTTTTTGGATGCCTTGCTTTCCCCCGTCCCCTTTACACAGACACACACACACAGACACACACACACAGACACACACACACACACACACCATCTATTACTGAGCCATAGGAAGATCAGTTGTTATCTTTAAGTTCTTGGCCATCTTGCTATTTTCTTGGATCTCTTAAAGGTTCCTAATATTTAGATGTTACCACATGGATTCTTAGTTAATGTCAAATTATCTGTCTGTCCGTCCGTCCATCCATCCATCCATCTCTATGTAGAAAGGGTATTTATTAAAGTGACTTATAGGCTGTGGTTCAGGTAATCCAGTAATGGCTGCCTACCAACAGAAAGTCCAGGTGTCCAGTAATTGTTCTGTCCACGAAGCTGGATGTCTCAGCTGGTCTTCAAAATATGTCAGAATCCCAAAGAAATAGGCTCTAATGCAAGTGAAGGAATGGACTAGCAATTGAGAGTGAGGGCAAGCAGGCAAAGAGCAAAAGCTTCCTTTTTCCATGTTCTTTACATAGGTGGCCAGTAGAAGGGCCGCCCAGGTTAAAGTGGGTCTTCCCACCTCAAAGGACTTGGATTAAAGGTGCATCTGTCCATGTCAAATGACTTAATTGAGAATAATCCCTTGCAGGTATACCTAGTTGCTTAGATTTTAGTCAATTACAGATGTAGTCAAGTTGACACCACTAATAGCCATCACAAGTCCACCCTTTGTCTGCTTGACATAATCATATCTTCTTATGTCATGCTTAATTTCCAAATAAAAATGATAACCAGGTAATAATTACATCTAGCATGATATAGCTATCCCACATACAACTGCAAATGCATTATAAATTTTAGAATAGGTGGCAATATCCTATTGAAGGACATTCTTTTAATATCTCAAAAATTAAATACAATAAACACTGATAGTCTCCTAATTGATGTTATACTATATGATGAAGAAATTAAGGAAAATATACAAAATATCTATACAAACACATTTTTCCCTTTTTAAAAATTTAAATTAGGAACAAGCTTAATTTGCATGTCAACCCCAGTTCTCTCCCCCTCCTCTCCTCCCCTATTCTCCACCCATCCGCTTTTTGCTCCCCAGGGAGGGTGAAGCCTTCCATGGGGGATTTTCAAAGTCTGTCATATCATTTGGGGCAGGGCCTAGGCCCTCCCCGTGTGTCTAGGCTGAGAGAGTATCCTACTATGTGGAATGGGCTCCCAAAGTCCATTTGTGTACTAGAGATAAATGCTGATCCACTACCAGAGGCCCCGTAGACTGCTCAGGCCTCCTAACTGACACCCACATTCAGGGGGTCTAGGTCAGTCCTTTGCTGGTTTCCCAGCTGTCAGTCTGGGATCCATGAGCTCCCCCTTGTTCAGGTCAGCTGCACAAACGCATTCTTAATAAGATATGACAGGTATAATAACTTATCTAAGAGTACTGATGGTATCTTTCTTTCTCCAATTTCTTTTGTTGTCTATCCAAAGGGTTCTTTTCCTCTTTTCATATGGGTTCTTTCCTTGATGACTTTTGCTGTATTGTAGAACTCCTCCAATGAACTTGAAATCTGTGAACAGAAACTCTTCTTTAAATTCAAAGGGATTTAGTTCTATTAGCATACACCTATCAGAATATTTTTAAAAGGTGGTATACATTAGCCATGTATGTGTGCTTCATTAACGCATATAGATATGGAAATAATCATCATATTTTGAAGCAGGGAGGCAGAGTGATATTTCTAAGCTCTTTCTACCAGTTGTAAAGTGATACAAAAATGTGATTTCTTTTGTATCACAAAGAGTGCATATATTGTATGGTATTCTGCAGCCTGAATTTATAATCATAAAGACTTGCTTATTTTTTATTTTATGTGTGTAGCACCAATTCTAATTGGTCTTAATAGTATAAACCCCTAGTCAGATATAGGAGCAAATGTTGAAAGATCAGAAAATTAGAACAGCCAGCCACTAGTTTTTTTTTTAAAGATTTATTTATTTATTACATATATACCAGATTGAATTGTAGATGGTTGTCAGGTACCATGTGGTTCCTGGGAATTGAACTCAAGACCTCTGGAAGAGCAGTCAGTGCTCTTAACCTCTGAGCCATCTCTCCAGCCCCCAGCCACTAGTTCTTACTGATAGTAAATCCTCAGATGGAATGGGCGATCATTTCTCTAGGAATCCTCAGACTGAATTTGTCTATGAAACCTCAGACTGAATGCTATGAGTTCCTGTCTCCTCCTACCTTATATTCCTCTCTCTGCCCAGCCATATCTCTTCCTGTCTCCACCTTCCTAGAGCTAGGATTAAAGGCATATGGCTTCCAAGTACTAGGATTAAAGGTGTGAGCCATCACCCCCTGGCTCTGTTTTTCTTTTAGACTGTATCAATCTCGTGTAGCCCAGGGTGGCCTTGAACTAACAAAAGATCCATCTGCCTCTGTCTCCTGAATGCTGGGATGAAATGTGTATGCCACCACTGCCAGGCCTTTATGGCTCCTCACTCTGATCTCCAGACAGCTTTATTGGTTAGAGCACAAACAAAATATCACCACATATGTGGATAGATTTTGCCTGAATCCATATCTGTATACTACTTGAGTACCTGGTGCGCACAGAGGCCAGAAGAGGGCGTTGGATCACCTGGAACTGGACAGTTATGAGCACCATATGTGTGCTGGTTATCAAACCTAGGTCCTCTTTAAGACCAGCAAGTGTTCTTAACTGCTAAGTCATCTCTCCAATCCAAAATGGTTCATTTCAAGTAGACAGCATTTAGTGTAAAGTTAAATATAAGATCTTGAGCCATTTGAATTCTTTCCTTAAGCCATTGGTGTGATCAAGAACTTATTTATTAAAGGTATCTTCAAATATCTGAGGTCAACAACTTTCAGGTCAAAAAAAGCAGAGCAGTAGCACCCAAGCACTTAGTGGGGGTTGGGAAAAGGGACAGAGGAGACCTGGGACTGGGGATGGCTGGTTGTAGTCAGTCTAGATAAAATGGGAGCTCCAGGTTCAGTGAGGTGCAGAGTGATTGAGAAAGACACTCATTGTTGGCCTCTGGTCCACGTAGTCATTAGAAAGCCCATAAACGGATGCACACACACACACCATTCTGTACGTGTATAAAAAGGAAGAGAGTAAAAGCTAATTGTGGGACTCTGAGTGATTGCATGGGCTTGGCAGTCAGCACTATTTATTTTGTGTTCTGGGATATTCAACTTTATCTCTTAGAAAACATCTCTTCATACTCTGCCTATGAAATGCAAGTTTGTATTTTTTAGACAGGGATTTCATGCATATAATCTAATAAAATTTGCTTTTAGGTTTTACAGAATAATTAATATTTTTATATATCATTACTGGTTGTTCCAAAAAAGAACATACGTAGTCTTTAATGTTTAAATTCCCTAGTATAAGAAAACGGAGCTATGTCTTACATTTAATTTATACCGATTTTTTATTTTAATCTTCTAGGAGCTTTCCAGTTGTGGATGGAATAAAAAAGAAAAATATAGTTCTGCACCAAACGCAGTTGCTTTCACAAGAAGATTTAATCATGTGAGTTCTGCTTATTGGGCGAGGAGGGCGTGGCTGTACCTGATGTTCATATGCTGTTGAAGCCAGAGATTGTGTCTAATGTCTCCTAGTATTGCTCTTCATTACCACTACTCCATTTTTAAGACAGTCTCTCACTGAACTCGGAATACGTGGATTGACTGTACTGGCTGACCATTGAGCTCCCCAATCCTCCTGCCTCTGCAGATCCTCCTACCCTCACCCAACACTGCCTACCCAGCATTTTACATGAGTGCTTGAGAGTGAAGTGCAGGTCTCCATGTTTGTACAGCAAAGCACTTTACCCACTGAGTCGTCTTCTGCACCTTTATATTACTATTTGTGTCACAAATTCTAATTGGTCTTAATAGTAAAAGCTTGGAGTCACATATGGGGAGGGTGCTGAAAGATCAGAGAAGCAAAACAGCCAGCCATTAGATCATCCTGAAAGGGCAATCCTGTCTCCATGAATCCTCAAACTGATTGCCTAGACTGCATCCTCAGACTGCTCAGATTGCTTCAGACTGACTGCTACTCAGACTGCATTGAGCTCCTGTCTGCTCCCACCTTATATTTCTCTCTCCGCCCAGCCATATCTCTTCCTGTCTCCACCTCCTCAGTGCTGTGATTAAGGACATGTCACTCTAAGTGCTGGAATCACCTTTGTGTGAACTCTGTGTCTCTTTTAGACTGGATCATTTTCATGTAACCCAGGGTGACCTTGAACTAATAGAAATCTGTCTGCCTCTGCCTCCCGAGTGCTGGTATTAAAAGTGTGTACCACTACGGCCTGACCTCTATGGCTAACTAGCGTGACTAGCTTGGCACTCTGATCTTCAGGCAAGCTGTATTTGTTAGACCATAGACTAAAATATCACCACATTTTTTTTTAGGTGTGGTCTTGTGTGCTCAGTCTAACCCCGTTTGCTGTGTAGCTGAAGATGACCTTGAGGCCCTGATCCTCCTTCTTCTGCCTCTGAGTGCTGGGATTGTAGACATGTGCCACCATGCCTAGCTTCATTTTTTTATTTTTACTATTTTGTTTTGTTTTGTTTTGTTTTTCGAGACAGGGTTTCTCTGTGTAGTCCTGGCTGTTGTAGAACTCACTCTGTAGACCAGACTGGCCTCAAACTCAAAGAGATCCGTCTGCCTCTGCCTCCTGAGTGCTGGGATTAAAGGCCTACACCACCATGCCCCTCCCCCATTTGAGATTATTAGAAGATGAATTCTCATTTCATTCTTTTTATTCACCATTTGTAATGCTTGTTGTAGTGCTTTGCATGAAGCCAGCTCACGGGTTCATATGTTTGAATGCTTGTTCTCCTGCTAATGCATCTGTTGGGAAGGATTAGGAAGTTCTTGTTATAGGTGGCACATCACTAGAAAGGGCTTTGAGATTTCAAAAGCCCATACCAGGCCCAGTGTGTCTCTGTCTGTTGCCTGAAGGTCAGGATGTAAAGCTCTCAGCTACTGCTCCAGCACCATGTCTGTATGCTTCCTGCCTTGATTATGGACCAACCCTCTAAAACTGTAAGCAAGACCCCAATTCAGTGCTTCCTTTTATGAGTTGTCACAGTCATGGGTGTCTCTTCACAACAGTGGAACAGTGACTAAGACCTTTGGGGTTGATAATTTTTGTACCTGTAGTTTGTTTACCTAGACACCCATTTTAAAGGAAGTACGAAAGGACTGAGGTTATCACCACCCCCATCATCATCTAGTAGTTTTAAAAATGAGTTGGTGCTCCATCATCTTCAGATAGTACCCAAGTAGTTTTTGTTTCTGTCCTGTTTCCCTTCCACCCTTGGTTGTCACACTCTCATATTTTCAGCCAATAGGTGTGTTACAGCTGTCTCATTCAAGCCTCAGAAACTCACTGATACTTCAGGTTCTCAGGACCACTTTTTCATTTGTCTCTTCTTTAGTATAGCTCTGCATGTTCTTTCTCCCATACTCTATAGTCCAATCACTTGCTTTATCCTATATACCAAACCACAGTCTTAAGAATAGCAATAGCTGAATATTCCTAATTTGAAATTCCAAGTGCTCAAAAGCCCAAAACACACCAGTGTGATACCACAAGTTGACTTTTGTTCCTGACTTCATGTGATAGGTAAGATGTAGGTGCATTCACAGCTATTGAATAAAATTTTAGCTTTTTAGCTATGCGTTTAAGGTGTATATAAAACCTAAGTGAATTTAGTGTTTAGACTTGGATCTTGTTCCCAAGACATCTCATGTTTGTACCAATACTCCGAAAAGCTAAGAAATTATTTTGACTATGGTATATTCAACCTATACTGACAGCCAACCACTACCATGACAGTGGGAAACAGCAGGTTTGCAGGCGCACGCTCTCTGTCTTCCCTGTTGCCCATTTTGATAGCTGAGCTCTGTACTGTCTGAGTGCATTGGGGTTGTAGAGTGCTCTTTATTTTTATCTTAGTTCTGTGAATAAGTATTTAGAGCTTACTCACACTTATGTTGATGCCTATCATCATTTTTATTTTATTGTCCAAAACTTCCTCTCAGGCAGCTCATTGGACAATGCCTCAGTTCAGACATGAAGGCAAATTTGCTTGTGTTCGTTGTAAGTGAAAACCGGTTTTATTGGATAAAAGATCCTGATTCCGTTTTCTTTCCTTGGATGATAGTTTTTTAAGTCTAATTTTATCAAACTGTTTCTTAGCCCTGGTTATTCTGTCAGTGTCTTCAGAAATGATCATCCCTAACTGGGACCATTGTAGTCTTTTTAGCATGGGGACTCGGTGTGCTTGGGATGTAGCTCAGGGTTTCCAGGGGGAGTGTTCTAGCAATCAAGGCAGGCATTATGTGGTCCTGGTGGGACTACTCTGTAAGTAAGAACTCACTTTGCTAATAACCTTTCCATGAAAGCTGCCCAGATTCATCAAGGAAATCACTTTTTATGAAAGTGACAAATAATTTGGACTTTAAAAATCATATTTGTCTTAAAATGTATCTGATGTGAATTTTAATTAAGTCATTGATTATGCAGCTTGGATTTGAATTGTTTATATTTACTCAATTCCTATTTAAATATATTCAAATGTATATTATAATGATTTTGTAAAATACGTAATTTTCTAGTAACATAAATTCACAAAATACTTGTAATTACACATACACACATGTTGACAGCTGTTTACAGGTAGAAATTCCAAGAAAACTCTAAAAATTTTTTTCAAGTGAAGAAGTAAGGACATCCTGACCTTTCACTGAGACTCAGCCATGGCTTATTTTGAGACTAAAGCTTGAGCCAGCTCTAAATACTTAGATTCTATTTTTGCAGTACTTGAATTAAAACAGCTGTTTGTATAATTTTGCGTGTGGGGGGGTGTGTTCATTCATGTTTGAGTGAACACATGCCATCTTGCACACCTGGAGGTCCGAGGACAACCCTGAGTTAATTCCCTACTCCCACCATGTGTTCTAGGGATTAAACTCAGGTTGGTGGCCCTGCTGTTGTAGCAGCAAGCTTTTTACCTGTTGAGCCATCCTTAGTTTCTGAGGATTTTTGTTTGTTGGTTAGTTTGTTTTAAATTAACGCCTCATTGAATTAGAAGCTACCACAAAACTTTTAGATTTCAGGGTATTTTCTTTATATAAGAACCCATAGTCAAGGGCGGGAGAAAGTGTGGTTTAAAAATAACTACAAGAAATACGACAGGTAGCATTTAATATTAATTTTAATCTTGGTAAATGTTGCCCTTGGGTTATTTTTTACTTTTTCTTTTCAGGTAAGCTTTTGGGTTGTTAGAGAGATTCTCCATGCTCAAACATTGAAAATAAGAGCAGAAGTTTTGAGCCACTATATTAAGACTGCTAAGGCAAGTATGGCTTGGTCTTTAGCTCACCCAGTCAGAAATGTTTTAAGTTACTATCTGTTTATTGATTGTGGAAAATAAGGCCTGTTGAGTATGTTGAATGCCTCTTTTCTCTGTCTTTTCCTTTAGTCTGGTCACCCCCATTCTTATAGACAGGGTTTAGAGTATGGTAAATTATAATATTTGTAAAATATTAGACTATGTTGAAGGTGTTAAAGCCATGTAGGATTAAGTTGGAAAATACACAATGATTTTTTGTTACTTTTGGTTTTTATTTATTTGCTTATTTATTTTTGATTATGAAGTAAGCTGCCCAGTTATATAGAAAATAAGACTTTGCAGGCTGGAGCGATGGCTCAGTGGTTAAGAGCACTCGCTCTTCTTGCAGAGGACTCAGGTTTACTTCCTGGCACCCATTGGTAACTTGATGCTGCCTTCTGACTTCCATGGGCACCAGGCACTCGAGTAGTACATAGGGATGTATGTGTGCAAAACACTTACATACATAAAATAAAAAATACATAAATCTTAAGAAAATACTTTTTTTTTTTTGTATTTGAAGTTTTGTTGAGGGGGAAGTAAGAAAATAAGGTGCAGAGACTCAGAGTCAAAATAGAAGCGGTGGGCAGGAAAGGTCCTGTCTGCACTCCAGAGAAACAACAGGAAAAAGAGCAAAGAGTTTATTTTTGAGACAGTGTTGCAGTAGTGCTGACTTTGAACTCAGGTACCCTACCTTGGACTCCCAAGTCCTAAGATTGCAGGTGTAGCTGCAATACCCTCCCAGACGTTAGTTTAGATGAGTAGTACATATGATGCAAACAAGTGCACTGAAGAGTCAGTGAGAGGCCGAGATAGTAAGTATAGTTGGAGACGCAGCATGGATTTCAAAGGTCATCAGAATTTCAGAGAGAACAGCATGTTTTTCACAGGAAGATACTGAGATCAACCTGTAACAGCTCCAAATTTATGTTAACTTCACTAAGTGTGATGTTACATCCATGTTTATTCTGCATGATTTCTATAACAGGCCTTATCTCACCTGTAGATTGAAAGGTGGTGGAATAAAACAGAAGTATTCTGCTTATAATTTAAGTTGGAATTCTTCTGTATTTTCCCTGAACATTTGGAAACAATCTTATTCTAACATTCTGTGGCACTAGGTGGCAGGACTAGCCTTCCACATTTGTGAGATTTTACAGAAATGTTATAGGAGTTTTTTAAAACATCATGAAAAGATACTTAAGTACTAGTTTTTAACTGAAGAAAGTAATGACTTTTCCCAAAGATTCTGAATTTCTATTTTTCCTGTATCTTTGATAGATTTTTGTATTTATTTGTGTGTTTTGCCTATACAATCTACCATTTTTATTCCAAATAATTCCATTTCTGTCCACACTCTTACATTTGACAGCTTTTGCTTTTATTGCAAATCCCAATTCCCTAATCTTTTCCAATTACTGTTAAATCACTATTTTGACACTCTGCCTTTTGTATTTGAGCTTGTAGTAAAGGCTTGAAATGGTCTTTTCCTTTAATGCCTGTTTCTGTCGGATTCTCTAGAGAGATAGAACCAACAGCATTCTATGTAAACATGCATAAAGATTCAAATATAAAATGTTTGATAAGATTTAAGATTGGCTCATATTATTGGTGGAGCTTGAGTCTGAAAACATCAGGGCACACCCACAAGCTGCAGACTCAACAGGAGCTTCAGGATGCAGGTTTTTTTTTTTTCCTTCTAGGTCCTCTGCATGTTTTGACGTATATCAAGTCTAAGGTGATACTTAGTCCCTAGTGAACATTTAATGTATGCTCATTTAATGACTAGATCATACAAGCTCCCGTGAAGGTTTATATCCTGTTTCATGTTTGCTGTTTTGTTTTTATTTGATTTCTTTATATTTTCAATTAGATGCCCACCATAGGGCTTATCTGGTTGTTTGGGACAACTGGAAAATGACATATTTTTTAGATATCACTTATAGGGCACAAATAAGACAAAATTCTGAGATGTTAGTTTCAAATGTAAAGTGGGTCTCTTGGGAAATTTGTGGAACCCACTGTTCGATGCATGCATACTATAAGAGCAACATCCCAGAATGAATTAAAACAAAGGATTTGGGATCTTGGACATGAGGAGACAGGATATAGAGGGAGCACTAAAGACAGCAAGTTTGAACTCTAGCCCTGGGATAGCAGGAACACTGCACAGGAAACCAACCTGTGTAGACCCTTTCTTGTACCTTAGACCACAGAGCACACAACCAGTAATACTGCCCTGCAAAGGATGCATCTGCTTCCAGAACCCAGGGCATGGCCATTATGGTCTTGCCAGTTAACCTTGACACTAAGCTGCTTCTAGAACCCAGGGCATGACCATTATGGACATGCCAGTTAACCTTGACACCATTCCATAACTTCAGCTTTGAAAATATATTGCCCGTTTAGAGCTGGATCTATTCCCAGAGCTTGGGTGAAAATGCCAATGTAGAATATTTACTGTGTACCCTAGAAGACAGTTCTCAACAATGACAGTGATAAATACTGGTATTCTACCAACTTCCTAAATTGTGTTAAACTATATTTTCCTACATTTATTTTCTTTAAAATAATAAATCTTCCCCCCCTTTTTTTAATTAAATCTTCAGAAACTGTATGAACTTAACAACCTTCATGCACTTATGGCTGTAGTTTCCGGCTTACAGAGTGCACCAATTTTCAGGTTGACTAAGACATGGGCGGTGAGTAACCCTCTACAGTTTAATGAAATGTTAGACTTTGTGCAAAGTAAAGATTTTATTACTTTATTTTGTAAGTCTCAGTAAGATGACTATTATGGTAATAGATAAGAATTCTTAAATGTATTACACTTTGTTGTTTGAAACATACATTTAATACTCCTTAAACATTGCACTGAGTTTAAGAGGTAATTAGTGGTAGACTGAGGTTGATGCTTGGGTTTTGCACTTTAGAGAATCGTTTTTGAATGCTTCTTTAGATATCTCTGACGACATCCTGTGTCATACTCATCTGATAATTTGTATTTAACGCTGTACATTTCATACTTTTGGCAAGTTTCAGGATCTAAGTCACAACCTTTAAATTTTTTTATTAATTTCAACTTCTATTATTTTTAGCCACAGACCTTAAGCTCTTGGTAAACATGGGATTATATGATATTGCTGATGTTATTTTACAACAGCCATCAAATTGGCTCCTATTATTTTAACAAGATTAGGGTATGATTTGGCATCTGCCAGTGTTTACATCTTTGTCTTTGAGTAGCATGATACTATACTCAATCTTCCTAGGTTGACTTTCTTCTTTCCCTTTCTTTTTTATAGCTTTTATTGTGACACTAAGGCCTCACACAAGCCATTGTGTCACTGAACTACATCCCCAAACCACTTTTTGTTGTTTGTTGTTTTTACTTTTTGAGTCAAATCAATGTCTTGCTAAGTCACTCAGAATGGTCCTGAACTTGGAATCTTCCTGCCTTAGCCTATCAAGTAGCTGGAGTTATAAGCCTGTCATTCCAGCCTCTGTGCAGGTGTGTGTGTGTGTGTGTGTGTGTGTGTGTGTGTGTGTGTGTGTGTGTGTGTGTGTGTATGTTACTACATTGAGCAAAGGCTTATGAAAATACTAAATGTCATTGTGTGTGCACATGCTTGTTTGCCCGTTCTCATTTGTTAATGCGTATATATTTAGAAACCAGAAGGCACCCTTGAGTGTCATTTCCTCAGATAGGGACTTTCATTGGTCTGGAAGTCACCAGTTAGGCTCTGTAGATTGGCCTATGAACTCTAGGGATTCTTTTGTCGTGTGCTCCATCCATCCCCCCCCCCCCGGGACTGGGATTGTTCCACTCAGGGCCTTGTGTTTTCCATTGCAAGCACTTTAGTAAAAGAGCTTTCTCCCTAGTCCCCTCACTTTGTTCATAGTTAATCAGGAAAGTGCTGCTCTTACTTTCCTGATGTATACAAGATAGACTTTATATAAAAACTATAGAGTTTTTATATTGGAAAATTATTAGTGTGAAAGAGGTTGTAATCTTTATTTTGCCATTAATAAATACCTGGAGAAGGATTTTCCTTTTTTAATTATGATGGTCTCATTCTTTAAAATCTGAATTCCATGGAGGGAACTGGAAATGACTACAAATACAGTTATGAGTTCTGTCTTTAAATTTTCAAGGAAAGGCATTATGCTTTTTATGTTGTGATTTAGAAATGGAATATATTTTCTTCAAGTTGTTATTTCCCTTGAAAATATTTTTGTTGTCCTCATCTAATTCTGTGAAAAGATTTTTTTGTTTGGTTAATAGTTCCACTAATCTATAATAAACTTTAAAAAATTGGATTCCAGTGAATGATATAGATCCCATCCTTACATACCTGACAGTCTACTGGAGAAAGATAATCTGTAATAAATAAATTGTATGGTAAGAAATATCAGAAGAAAAGTAGGATGAAAAGGAAAATAGGGCAGCATTGTTTTTTTAGTAATATGAGAAGAGCATATCTCATAGTGGGATGGTGTCAGCTTTCTAACGCTAACTAGATATCTAAGATAATCAATAAGGGAGGATATCTTGGATAGGAGAAGCAAGTGTTGTAGGAAAACATTTTTTATGGTACAGGGAGAACTTTTGAGTTGACCATTAAGTCTGACAGTTGAAGAAGATTGGTGTTGTTGGCAATAGTGATGTTGGTGTGGTGGGGTAAAAAAAATGATTGGGTTTGAGATTGATGGCAAAGGACTAGGTCAGTAAGTGTAGACTGTGCCTTCGAGAAAGTTTGCTGTAGAATGTTGAGGACCTGGCAGTAGCTGGAGAGAAGGTAGACTAAAGGTTTGTGGCACGTCCTTTTTTTATTTTGTAGGTGGGATTGTTGACCAGTAAGTTCTATGCAGGTCACAATGATGTAGTAGGATCAGGGAGATGGTGAGAGAATAATTTCTTCAGGGGTATCCTTAATTAAATAGAAAGGAATTAGTTCAGTACTGTGGTGTTTGGAAATATTTTTTCCATGTTAATAGTCAGAGAGGGTTGTATCTGTTTACAGATGCAGGTGAATTTGTAGATTGGGTGGTGGGAGTCTATAGAAGTTCCTCTGGCAGCTTTCATTCTTTAGAAACAAAGTCCTTAGTTGAGAATTTTGAAAGAAATCCTTGGAAGTTTGAAGAAAGAAGGAAGGGTGTTCATCCAGGAGGGAAAGAAAGCACCATGTCTAGGAGGCATGAGAGATCACTGGGCTTTATAAAGAAGATTTTTGCTTCAGAGTTTAAAATGAAAGCAACCAACAATTACATACTTTCTGGGTTCAGGCTCAGTATAAGTGTGGTATACTGGTAAGAACTGTATTTAACCAGACTTGGGGGTTGGTTTGTTTGTTAAAGTCAGGTTTGTACTAGAGAGATCTATAGTAGAACAAGAGCTGAAAGAAAGAATATAGCATTATCTTATTAGAAGATTAGGAAACTAAGTCAAGCAAATAAAGGTGAGAAATGATAAATGGTGAAAAGAAAGTAAAACATGACAGTGACCATGAAAGTCACAATAAAGTCCATGATATGTTTAAGATGACAGAATAGTGGATCAAAATGGCAGAGGTGCAAAAACTGGAAGAGAAGTCAAGAAAAAAGACTGGTGAGTGTTATACACATGTAAGACTCATAAAAGAAGCAGTGGTTGATGGGCTCTTTTGTTCTAGCCTCCAAAATCTTAAAGGCATAAAGGGAAGTTACTTGTAGGCCATAAATGACAGTAACCAAGTATTAACTCTTTTGAAACATAGTAAAATTGTTTGTTGGTCATTGTTCTCATCTCTGACATAGTAGCCAGGGGTGGCTATTAATTTTAAATCATTAAAACTAACTCCAGTTCCTCAGCCATACTAACCACATTGCAAGTGCTCAGGAATGTTGGCTAGCAGCCATTGTTAGGACAACACAAACATAGATCTCCATCATCACACAAAGTCTACTGGACAGTGTGAATCAGTACTAGAATGTCATACATACTGAGGACTTGGGAGAGGAAAATGGACTGATGAGCTTGGAGCAGTTGTGAAGCTCAAGGAACAAGAATTATATCTAAGCCACTCCCAGGCTTAAATCAAAAGGTTTATGAAAAAGGAAAGGATACTTGCTGTGAACAGGACCTGAGTGGCACTAGGTATAGATTGGAAGGTTTGGGTAGAGTAGTCTATTGATCTGAACTTAGAGGGATAATGTAAGAACATAAATGTTCCATACTCATTTGGATTACATGTTTTAGTGTTAAAATCTTGAGGGTTTTTGTTTGTTTGGGGTTTTTTTAATTGATAGAAGGAACATGGTACAAGCTCTTAATAGCCTAGGTGCATTATCTCAATAATAACACTGTTAATGTTCAACACAGGACACTTAGCTGCCATAATAAATACATCAATTTACAAAAATCTGTATTTGGAACAATTTTAAAGTATTGGCTTCAAAACCACTGGGCTGCAAAAATGGTTGAGAAAGTAAAGCCCTTGCTAGGGCCACAATTTGGATCCTGTACCCATGTAAATGTTGAGTAGACATGGCTACCTACCAGTATTCTCAGTACCCGAGAGGCTGAGACAAGGGAGCCCCAGAGCAAAGACTAGCTAGGGCAAGCTCTGTATTTAAGTCATTAATGTCTCAGTATATAATGTCATTTGCTATTGAAGATGGCATCTGACATCACCTCAGGCCTCAATATACATTCACATACATACACATTGGAACATTCACACATACACACACACACACACACACACACACACACACAGAGAGAGAGGGGGGGGGACGGAACAAATAAAGAGCCCAGAAATTAATAAATACACACATTTAGAGTCATTTTGACAAAATGCCTCAGCCCGTGTTAAGAAAGGATAGTATTTTCAATAAATGGTCAGGGAAAGTGACCATGTGTAAAAGAATGGAATTGAACCCTTATTTTAGAACCACAGGACAAAAATGGACTCCAAAAGGATTGAAGGGTTAATTGTAAGATTTAAAACTGTAAAACTACTAGAAGAAAATATAGGAGGAAAGCTTCTTGACATAGGTCTAAACAGTTATATTTTGAATATGACTCCCAAAGTGTAGGCAGCAAAAATGAAAATAGACAAATGAAATGAGCCTGTCAAACCAAAATTCATGGCAAAGAAGACAGTCAGCAGAGTGAGGGAATAGTCTATGGGATGTGAAATTATCTATAAACTACATCTGTGAAGAGGTTAATGCCCAAATACATAAGGAATTCAGTCAGTGCAGCAGCAAGAAAATAATTCACTTCAAAATGAACAAAATGTCTATATAGACATTTTTCAAAAGAATGCACACAAATAGCCGGTAGATATGTGGGAGATGTTTAACCTTCCTAATGGTCAGGGCAGTGCAAATCCTGCAAGGCTGGCTGCCACCAAAAAGATAAGAAGTCACGAATACTGCTGAGGGAGTGAGTGGACCAGAAAAGGAACTCTGCTTACCAATGGTGGGGATGACAGTGGTACAGCCATAATAGAAAACAGAATAGAAATTTAACTTGCCTCTTTAGAAAATTCACAGTAGAGCCATGGTATGACCCAGAAGCTCATCTGAGTCTGTTTCCAAAGGGCCTGGCACTAGAAGCTGAAGGGCTGTCTGGATATATCAAACTGTGATAAATACCAAACTGAATAGAACCCAGAAATAGATCTTTGCTTTGGATCCCCGACATAGGATAGGGTGTCTTAGTTACTGTTACTTTTACTGTGGTAAAACACCATGACCTTCTGGTAACTTGAGGAGGAGAGGGTGTATTTCATCCCACAGCTCTCAGGTCACACTACATCACTGAGGTAAGTCAGGGCAGGAAGCTGGAGGCAGGCACTGAAGCAGAGGCCATGGAGGAGCTCTTTTTACCTCTTACTCGACTTGTTCTCCTAACAACTGAGGACTGCCTGCCACATCCTACTTCGCCCACTGGAAGTTAGGTCTACCAGCATCAATCATTAATCAAGAAAATGTACCACAGACTTGCCTGTGGGATTGGGTGTCAGAATGTTCTTTACCAGAACCAGCCTCTAAGACCCTGAGAAACAGAAATACCTGTGGAAGAGGATGGCTGAGAGCATTACTACATCTTCTACTTAACTAACCTGTGATTGACTCTCCTTCTCTGTCATCTCTAATGAAATACACAAACTTTTTTGTAAACACTATAGCAGAATTAGATGACAGTTTTGTAAGTGAAATGTTTGCATGCCATACAAAGAGTCAGTATTTTAATGTGTAATAAAGTCAAGTCTTACTGTGTGTTGACGAAATCGTAACTTCAGAGGTTTTAAACCACATCTTTAGAATGCTAACAGAACAAAAACAAGTGTCTGGAAGCTTTCAGTTTGTATCATGGGTACTAACCTCACTTGTCTTTTACCATCCTTGATTGTTTGAAGTAATCTCAAAGGGCATGTATTGCACACTGTCTCTTCAAGCCACTTGAAACCACTTTTTTGTAATTCTCTATATGATAAAACTCTGGTCAAGAAGAAAATTTGCTATCAGAAGTCAAAATACAGACTTCCCAGCTGTTGTTAGGATCAGCCACAACTGGACTTGTCAAGAAAAGTTGTTACTTATATCACTTAAAATTAAGTGTTTCTTAGTGATTATTGTTATGGTGAAAGCTTCAAATTTTGGGGGTGCTGTTTACATACCCTGTGGGGTGGTCTTAGCATCTCTGGGGGGCTTTCTGAGATGCAGCAGGGTTTGGAGAGAAATAGGGGAGGAGGCTTGGATAGAACATCCACCATAACATTATGAAGGAATTTTATTTGAGGCAATTGATAAAAATATTTGTGCATTTGAGGTGAATGTATACACATAATTTAAGTTGTTAAAAACAATAAAATTGCTTAATTATATAGAGTTGTAAAGATAATATGTTATAGTTTACCACTTAGTAGGTTCATTTATGTGCATGTAAAGATCATTTTATAAATACTTTGAATTGTTAATGCATGTGTCTGATTTTGTTTTATTGCTATCCTACCATAATGAAATTAGGGAAAGTGTAACTTTGAAGTTAGAGTCCAGATTTATGATAAATATAGCTTCCCTTCAGTTCTTTGCTAAAGTAAGATGGAACTTGCAAATAACTTAGACTTTTCTGTTTGTTTTTTAGTTATTAAGTCGAAAAGACAAAACTACCTTTGAAAAATTAGAATACGTAATGAGTAAAGAAGATAACTACAAAAGACTCAGAGACTATATAAGTAGCTTAAAGATGACGCCTTGCATCCCTTACTTAGGTGAGTTACATCGCTGTGTTTGCATTCGTAGCTGTGGCTCTTCCTGAACCAGTCGTTTCTATGAAACACAGAGTGTTTTTAAAGTGCATGTGTAAGATTTCTAAGCTGAAAAAAATCAGGTGAAGAAGTGTTTGCCTTATTGTCTGGAATGCTTTTCATATTAAATTAGCCCCTTGTCCTCAGGTTTTCTATAGAGTATAACAATAACTTAGAAATGGGCTGTGGGTAAATACGGTATATTTTAGCAACACTTTTAATGGCTGAAATAATGCTTTGTAGTAAAGCTTAATATAGTAACTGAAGACATTATGCAAGATCTTATGTAGTACAGGGTTGGTGTGGATTCTGAAGAGTGGTTTTAATTAATTATCGGTATTACTGTTTGCCTAGATGAATTGATTTGTCTGACTGTTAAATTAAGGTTAGTGCTTGACAGTTTTGTATTTATCATTTGTTTAAGAACTTAAATCTTTATATAAAATCTTACAGTATTCATAAGTTCCAAAAACTATTTAATAACATTATAGATTTTTTTTAGCAAAGCATGAATAATGTTTTGTTGACTATCTGAGTTTTAAAATGCCCTGAATAAGCTATCCTTTTAAATTCGTATGTAACTTAAAGATAGAGGTCATGCTGTAGATGATACATATCCAAGGTACATCAAATCAAGTTGGCTTGACTTTGTAGAAATTCATCAGCTGATAAGCATTTGTTTCTCATCCTTCTGCCCATCTGCTCTTTACCTTTTCAGTAGTGATCTACAGTAGACTCAGAGAGAGCAACTTCTGAGAGTAATCACAAGTGTGTCATTTGTTTTGAACAGTTCATTTGAAGTCTTTACATTATTAGTGACTAACAGGCAGGCTCAAAGGCTGGTCCATAAACTTCCATCTGTCATAGAGAGCATCAGTCTTAGTTCACAGAGAACACTTGACTAATAACGTTGTAATCCACTGAGCAGTGGTGGTGCTCGCCTTTTAGCAAAGTGCTCGGAAGGCAGAGGCAGGCGGATCTCTGTGAGTTCGAGGACAGCCTAGTCTATAGAGCTAGTTCCAGGACAATTAGGGCCGGTTACACAGAGAAACCCTGTCTTGAAAGACCAAAAAACAAACCAGAAAAAGAGCATTGTGGGGGTATCCTAAGGCTCCTGCACAGAGATATAGTCACACCTATTGAAGGCACAGTAACCTAAAAGTGTAGTGTAGTTAATGGCCACTGCATTTCTTTTCTTTTTTAGCTTTTGTAGCTTAGCTGTGTCCATATTTAGAAATATAATTTGGTGTAAAAGAAAGAATAAAGGAGCTTTTAAAATTATTGTCCTTAATAAACAAGATCTCTTGAGTAAGTTGGGCTCATGGGGGTCAGAGGGGAGGATGGAAGGGGAGTGAGGGGAGATGTATAACCCAATTTAAAAAAATGGTTAAAACAACAACAACAACAAAAACCTGTTGTCCTTGTCCTGTGTAAGAGCACAAATAAACCATTTGTCGTGTAGACCATTGGACCCAGAGTTGGTGACCCTTGGTTCTTAAAGGGCTTTTCTATGCTGAGTTTTCAGTTTATTGCATTCTTCTATACTTAGATTTCAATCTGTTTCCTTTTGAGTCAGGAGATGTCCTTACTCCACCTACTTCAAAACTGAGAACCAAGCACCTAGAGGTAGAAATCGACTTTCAGTCCTCTAACAACCATTTATAGCATATCCACAATCTAATGATTCTGTCTAGCACGTTCCAGTTATGCCTGATAAATTCTCTAATTCAAATATTTACTGACTCTGATTGCCTTCCTAACCGAATTGCCATAATTTGATATCTTCTTGGGAAAGTTAATTTTTAAATTATGAATGAGAAAATGACAAATGAATCATTATACTATGATTTCTAGTTTAGGGATATTTGTCCTGTACTGTTTCATAGAGGAAACTTGGTACAGAAGTTGAAGCTGCGTGTGTATGTGCACTTGTGTGTGCACAGAGCTGTGTGTATTCATGAACCTCTGCATGTGTGTGCAGAGAGAAAGAAGGGACGCTGTTGAGTAGAATCTGGAAAGGTTTTCTGTTGGAGACTGCCCCTTCTCTCCCAGCCTTGGGACCTGAAGCAGACAAGGCAAAACTCTGATGTGAAGATGCTAACTTGCAGAAAATACTAGAACCATCATCTTCACTGTATGCTCTGGTTGATCTCAGGCTCTCTTTCTTATCAGTTCTTGTGTCTTGGAGCCTTAATTCTCACTGTTACCATGTGTTTTACTTCACCTGAGGAGAAGGGACCCTGTTGTTGCTTCCAGTTGCTCGGCATACCGTTGTCCTCTCTTCACCTACTTGGCAGTGTCCCATAGCTTTCTTCTGTGGACTTCTCAGACTTCATCTTAATTTTGTGATTAAGGTGCTAGTTACTTCTGCTCTTGGAGATTTTTCTGGGACTCTCTTGGCCACCCTCTAAACTTCTGGCCTTTGTTTCATTGGCTGCTCTCTCTCTCTTAAGTATGTAGTCATATAAAGATGTCTGTCTGCTTGTTTTTACATTATACTCTGAGTGTAGTGGAATGATCTCACTCAGGTTTGATATATTTAATAATCTCATCTCTACGCTGGGCCTATATGTCTGTCCACTTTTTTTAGAAACTGAAATATCAAATCGGTTGACTTGTGATACTTACATTGACTTCTAGTTGAACGTGTGCTTATGTGAGCTCTTCTCCCTTCCTGCAGACCTGATCCCCATCTCATCTTCTATTTTAGTTCATCGCTAACCTCATCTGTATCCCATTACATACCTTTGAACATTATAAAAGGAAGCACCTTATTAGGTACTTTGTTTTGTTTAGACAGGTCTCACCGTGTATTTCTGACTGATCTGGAACCCACAGAGATCTCTCTGCTCTGCTTGACATTAAGGTGTGCATCAGTACACCCTGCTAGAAGATAACTTGTTTAGGGAACTATTTGCCCAGTCCCTTCTGGCTTTCCCCATTGTTCAACAGTGTTGTTTTACTTCTCTTTGAATATAATAAGGTACTAGAGTAGAATATTTGTATGATTCAACTCTTCAGCCTGCAGTTTTCTTTTGGAACTTCAGCTGACATTTACTTAGTACCATGCTTGGTGCTAGATGTATAACAAGGAATAAGGTGGACTTTGTCCCTACCTTGTGGGTTTAATAGGGCTTGAATACAACCTGTGGTTCATTTCATTTCATCTCCTCCCCTTCTTCTGCATCTCATGTAGTGTAGGAAAATGAGATGAATGTGTCTAAGAATTAAAAACCTAAAGGAAGTTGGATATAGTGATACATACATAATTCTCAGCAGTAAGGAGGTGGAAATGGGAGAATCATGAGTTAGAGACTAGTTTGGGTTACAGATCAAGACCTGCCTCTAAAAATAGGAGTTGGGGATTGGTAAAGAGTTTAGGACGATTTTTTTGAGACCATACATTTCAGCAGCTGCCCGATTCTATGTGTAGATAGTCCTCATGTGGTTATCCTCACTCTGTTCTGTGAAGAACATCTATTCTAGAATGATAAGATAAGGGACCATTTAGCATAAGTACTTGATAGACTTGACAAAAGAAACTACCACATCAGTAATTATTACTCGATTTAGTTTCCAGCTTGAAAATCATCCTTTATCTGAACTGAGAGGTGTGTTTAGTAGCAAACCTTTTGAGTAAACTTAATCTGTTAAAGCATGTGTACTTTTTTTTTAAGTTTGTGTGTGTGTGTGTGTGTGTGTGTGTGCGTACTCTGTTTGAGAATATATGTATGTATGTGCATAATGGTGTCAGATCCCTTGGAGCTACAGTTAAACATATTTTCAGATGCCCAACTTGTCACATAGACACTGACATCTAAACTCCCTTCCACAAGATTGCACAACAATCTTAACCACTGAGCTTCCTCTCCAGCCATTGTACTTGATTTTCTTAAGAAAATATGAAGTAAACCTCATAGGACTTATTGACTACTTAGTTTACATTATAGACAAATGGTTCTTTTTTTCTCATTTCTGAGTTTTAGTACTGAAATTTATTGAAGAAGAAATATTTGTTGCTAATTTGCATCCTATACTGGCTTTTCTTATTTTCATTTGAAATTAATTAGGTCTTGAATTTTCAGAGTTTAACTTTCCTCGATTTTAGAATCCTTTTCTGTTCATGTGAAAATAGAACGGCTTCCAAAACCAATAGCTCTTGTAAGATACTGTACATTTGATGGGCAGGACTCAGCCAGCACTCACCTCACTGTCCTTTCATACTCATAATGCTTTTCTTTGCCCCTTTTGTCTGTAGATGTTCTTAGAGAAAGGATGCCATCAGCCAAAGGGGCTATAGTGCATAGAGAAAGGGTAGTGGTCAAGCAGCTGCTTCATAACAGAGATGTTCTAAACTGCTAGCATTTTCAGTGCTGACAATAATCGTCAAGGGCTGTCAGTGACTCAGCAGGCATAGTCCTGTCACACAGTTCTGATAGCCAGTTCACTCTCCAGAACCCATGTCAAGTTGCAAAAGAGAACCACATTCTGGCTTCTAGGACATTTGTGACACACAGATCCACACCATGCATACACACTAATAATGAATTTTTAAAATTAAAAGACATTAAAAGTTAGTAATGAAAACCAACCATGCACTGTAAATATTTTTCTAAATGGATGTTAGGGATTTATATAGTAGTGCAATTTTTCCATATTGCCAAAAGTATCAGTAATTCAATGTGGATTAAATCTCAGGAAGTAGAAAATACTTTCTTGGCACCCCACTCATCCTCTCTTGAAATGGTCTCTTCTGTTGGTTTGCATTCAAGCAAAAAGTGGTCAGCTTGGACAATATAGTCAAAAACTCTTAAACAAGGATGTACTTTGTCTAAAGAGGAGTAGTTTGGCTAATGTCAAGGAAAATTTTTGTTTTCTATGAGTTATTGCTTTAAATCTGAAAACCATTAGCAGCATTCATCTGTCCTGGTCACTGCTGCAGAGCAGTCGTAAGGGTCTGCTGACGAATTTGGCATGGAAGCTTTGCTGTACTGCAGAGGAAGACTAGAACACTGCTCAAAAATAGTTTAATTTTATGAAACATGGTAACTACTTCTTTGTGTGTATTTTCTGAACCCCATTCCTATTTAACTCATGTAATGGAGAAATGCAGTAGCACAACCAAACTAGAGTATGTTCTGAAAAGGGCATGCTGTGGGCACTGAAAGTGAGTGAATCGTGACCTTGTTAAGGGAAGCAGAGCAGAGACGTTTGTGTAAACGCTCCAGCCCTTTTGCAGACATCAAAGTAAACTGTCTTGATGTATGGAGGTACATTTCCCTCAGTCTTCAAGAGACTGCTCTTACCTTGTCGTCCTTTAAATTTCAACTGAAATACCACATTTTCATGTGAGGGTTTTTTGAAAGAGAGAAGAGTGCTCTTATGATCTTTTGCAATGCAGTGTTCCATTCCCTGCTCTCCAGACAACCACCCTCTTTTATTTATGTAACACATCGCCCTTCGACCCACATGGGTAAGCTCTTGTCTTTGTGTTTCTTTGTTGTTGTTGGCCTGGTTGGTTTCATTTGGTTTGGTGGGTTTTAGCATGGAAATAAAGGGAAACATTTAATATAGATACTTGCTGATTCAGCTAATCAAAGGCTCTCCTTCTGTTGTTTTGGAAACTTTTGTTTTAATCTCTGTTGTGATACAGTTCTGTGTTCATGTGGCATGTTTACAGTTCTTCAGACACTCAAGTGTGCATGCATGCATGCATGCATGCACAAACACACGAATGTACTCACACACACACACCATTTTCTTCTGGTGCTTCAGCTGGCAGTTGTACTTGCTCAGCACTGTCGTTGGAGCTGCTACTAGACCTGGAGCTGGGGGTGCGGCAGCCCTATCCCAGGGTACATGGTACTGAACATGGCCTTAATAATAAGGAACCTGGTTGATAGCCATACTTCACAAAAGGCTTAGTTTCCTGTGTTGGAGGAGATGTGTATCATTTGTTACAGTGATTGTTAATTCGCCATCACTGTCAGTGAAAAATTTAAGGCATACCTAAATTTAAAAGAATCTTCACACTACCCCCCCAGGAATTGATCTCCGAGTGTAGTTTTTAGTGTAATGTTGGTCTTAGAAATGTCTGCTATTTATATGAATTTTTAAAATTATATTTCTCAGTATTTTCTATTAAAGTAATTTCAACAAGGCCCTGGGCTTCTTGCAGTTACTTTTGCTATTTTGGGCTTTTGGAAGACATGATCTTGGGTATGCATGTTAGCAGGTCTTGAGCTCACGATCTTGCTATCTGTTAATGCCATTTGTTTGTGTTCAGTCTCTGTGTGGGTGTGGGTGTGGGTGTGTGTTGTGTTAGGGATTGAACCTAGGTCTTCACAAATGCTATCTACCACTGGGCAGCCCACAATTCCAGTCCTGTTGTCCCATAGGTCCTTCTGTGAGGAAGTAACAAAAACTTGCCTTTTCACTTTGATGAAATATTACATAAAAGTCACTGACAGTGATATCAAAATCCCTAATAGTGATCTTCAAAATATTTGGAAATATCAGTTATTTTGATAATAAAAAACAGGCCTTTATATTTTAACAATTTTATTCCATTTTCATGTCTTTGGTTCAGTAGTTAGTACACACTCTGGATTAATTTTACTTAAATTTTTATATTTACTCATTTAGATTGGGAGGACATACAGAGATGCGTGGACAACTTACAGGAGTAGATTTGCTCCTTGTACCAGCGGGTTCTGGAGAACAAACTCAAGTGGTCAGGGTTGGTAACAAGTGCCCTTAACCGCTGGACCACTTTGCTGGCTCTTATTATATTGATTCTGTATTGTGTTCTAAACAGCAGTAGAACACATTCAGTCCTTTTGGATTCTGAGAGTGAACTCTGATCAGATGGCACCTAGCTGTAGGTTTTCCGTACTGCAGTCCTGTTTCCCATTTCCTGGAGTCCTTTTTGTCTTCACTCTTTTGAAATGTATTTAAAGCTCCACTGATGTTATCTTTTCTGTTGTGAGAGTTGGTGACTTTCAAAGACTTGTGACATAAATCATTTGAGGATTAAGTTGAATTAATATCATTCTTGTGCTTTTGGATTCTTAGGAGCTTATTAATCTTTAAAAATAAAAGCAGATATTCAGAAATGAATGCTAGCCACAAACAGAATTTTCAGTTGTTGATGCTTCTGTAATTTGTTTTAGCCTTTTTTGTGTGACACCAACAGAGGAATAGTTTTAGTAACAATTAGCATTTAGCCATATGTATCTGATACAAAGTATGTCAGTTCTTCAGTACAGAACAGTAAGAGCTATTCGTATGTAACAGACAAAGAACCAGCACAAGGAAGGACAGGTTGCCTGGCTAAAGATAACTGCACCATAACTATATTAGTGTTAGTTATTACCTCATGTAGCTTTAGAATCTGTGATCAGGTGGTTTATTCATTCATCTTTCCTGTCCCTTTCTATAGGATCATATAGCTTGCTAACAGTTAATCTCATAGATAACCTTGGAAGGAACTTATTTTTAGCTGGCCTTTTGGTTTTCTCATGAGTGGTCCAGGCTTTGTAAAAGTGGAGTCCTTTCTTTTTCTACTTACTTTGTATGGATGATTCAGTTAAGTGAACATGAGTGAAAATTCATCTCAAAGTATATTGGAGTTGCAAGCTACCCTGGAGTTTTTTTTTTCCATTTCAAAATTTCAAGTTTTTGTCCAATTTTGAAGTTAATCTAAAATCTCAAATTTTGAAATCTCTTCAGAGAAGTCAAGTATCCCTGACATTGATGCCTTCCACTGAGTGCAGGCAGAACTTAAAACAATGAGAAATAGCTTGGATTTGTTTTGTTTTGTGGTCCAAACCCAGTCCATTGGTAGACCGGATGAGGCTCTTTTCTTGGTTGGGAGAGAATTTATGACAGGATTATCCTACCTCAGGCTCCTCAATGCTGAAATTGCAGATGTGTGCCTCTACAGCCAACGAATTAAAAATACCTGAACATAAAGAATCCTTTTACCGTAAGCTAGCTTGAAGGCAGGTTTATATGAGTCCATTCTTACTGCAGATAGGCAGTCTTAGTGTTGGGTTTTTAGTTTTTTGAGACAGGGTCTCCTGTAGCCTGGGTTACCTTTAAATTTGATAGGTAACTTGGGCCAGCCTTGAATTCTTGATCCTTCTGCCTCCACCTCCCAAATGCTAAGATTATAGGTATGTGCCACCATGCCTAAGTTGATGATTCTTTGGTTTTGTTTTGCTTTCTGAGACAGGGTTTCTCTATGTATCTTTGGAGCCTGTCCTGGAACTTGCTCTGTAGACCAGGCTGGCCTCGAACTCACAGAGATCCATCTGCCTTTGCCTCCCGTGTGCTAAGATTAAATATGTGTGTCACCACCACCAGGCTAAATTGATGATTTTTATACCTCACCACTAGTAACCTAACCTATTCTTCCCCAATATTCTCTTTATACTAAAGCTGTTGATGCCTAAACTTTTTATTACTTTTAAATTAACTGCCTGTCTTAATAGCTGGCAGAGTGAAAGGTCACTGTAAGATCATGCTTGCAAATTTGGATATTGTTCAGTTCAAGACATTTATTTATTGATCTCCCTCCCCTACTCTGTATGCTGTCATTGACCAAATAGACTGTGTTCCAGGCACCTTCTGGGGACTGCATCAACTTTATAACAGTAGGATCCATCTGTTAGTTAAGACAGTTTGGAAATCCATTTCTGTCTTCTAGTTTGTGTGTTTACTTTCTCTTTGTTCTGCTTTTAATACTGGGAAGATTCTGTAGGGTTTGTCTTTGGTGAGATTCTGGTTGATTGCAAAGACCAATGCCACTAGTGTTGGCCTGTAACTTTCACCAGAAGTTTTCATTTGCTATGTGATTCATGAAAAGCACTGATCTGTGAACTTGCATCGTGGCCGTCCATGTTAAACCATCCCTGTCTTTGACAAATTGCCTTGCTCATTTTTAGGTCTTGTTGCATTTTCTTTCTTTTTTAAAATTTAAATTAGAAGCAATCTTGTTTTACGTGTCAATCCCAGTTCCCTCTCCCTCCCATCCTCCCCTGCCCCCCACCGGCTCCCTATCCCATCTCCTTTCTCTGCTGCATTTTCTTTTTAATTAAGCATAAATCTCAGATCTTTAAAATATTAGCTTCACAAGTGAGTTAAGAGATCATCAACTGTTAAGAAGTGATATGTTAGTGTGAGCAAGTTGGTTTAGAAGGCCCCTAGTAAAGGTGTTGGTTGAGAAGATGAGTTGGACAAAGTAGGACTAAGGTTTAGTCACACACGCTGCAAAGTAGAATTATCAGTTTGGACCTGCCAAGGCCCTATGGATTTTGCTCTAAGGCTGTTGTATCCTCACTATTAGTAAAATGTCTTTAACCAACTTGAAATTGTTTTAGAACCAGCTGTAAGTATACAGTGGTATGTAGAAAGCTGTCCAGTGGCTTTCACAAGTAACAGACAGACTGTATGTATGTATGTATTGCTACTGCCATGCATCAAATGCAGACTTTCATACACACCAAGCATACACTCTACTACTGATCTGTACCCCTAGCCTGCAGCTGGGTGTTTTCTCTTACAGTTCAATAAATAGGATAGGGGAGTAATTAATACTTTTAGAATCATAATTCAGATATATATTAGAAGTGGTATAATGAATATTCTGTTTTGTCATTGTATAACATACATATCAGATTATGGTATCAGCATATCATAAATGTCAAGAAATTAATCTGTCTTATACATTTCCCATTTAAGTAACAAGGGTATTATTTATGCGTTTCAAAGTAATACATATTGTACTTTGTGTCCTAAATTATTGAAGGAAAATGGTTATAAATGAAAAACATAATTCAATTAAAATTTTTATTTTAAATTTTTATTCAGTGGAAAAACATATTTTCAGTGGCAAAACTAGAGATCTTTCTCTAATTTCCTGTCTATATTTTTATAAATAAAATTAACTGCATGGCTGAAATCTTAAAATTACTTTTTCTTTGGAAGTTAGAGCAGTGTTATATTTTTTTAAATAAATCATTAAGTGTCTTAAGCATGTATTTGGATTTGATTCAAAATAAAGCTAAGATTTGTTTTACATCATGGCACATATTTACATTTACCTGTATTCAGTCAATATAATCCCTAAAATAACAAGGATTTTCATACAAATAATCTTCTGTAGCATATTAAGGGAAAATGGAACTATATTCACAGATACATTCTTACAGTCACAGTACAATTTATTTTATAAACTGTACCTGTAAAAATAAATTGTGCCAAGTAACATGTAGTGTTTACACTTGGGGAACTGAACAGTAAAGCTCTGTGGTTTCTTTGGAGACTGTCTCTCTTCAGTCAATGGGCTTGATCATCATCTGCACTGCCCTCAGAGAGTAGGACCCGCCTCTGTATTCAGCCCAGAAAATCCCATCTTGGTGCTTGCTTCTGTAATGGCCTCCTCTGTACCATACTCCGTTGAGGTTAGAGTGTGCACAGGCATTGTACCACCAGCCTCCCTTATGAAAGTGGGCACAGTTTCCTGCAGGAGAAACACGGACACTGAGGTCAGAGCCCTTCTGCACATGGCACCTGGCAGACTCAAGAGTTCATGCTTCCTTCGGAGTGATTGGAGTGACTCCAGTCACGTCCATCTTGATTTTCTTTTCTCTACTCATATCACTGGAATTACCTTATTCATTATACTCTTGGCCTACTTAACATTTATATAAAACATCATTTTCTGCACATTAGAGTAAATAAAATGCAGTGTTGTATGTAAGTTATATACAAAGGAAATGAAAGGGTGGACTGAGAAAGATAGTAGAGTTTGAGAGAAAACTGAAGTCTAAAAATAGCCTAACTAGTCATTAAGTGAGTTTGTGAACAGAAAAGTAGATGTTCCAATCCTGTTTCTCTTCTTCCTCTTCTGCTACTAGGAAATAAATTAAAATAGTGCCCAGTATGCTGTTGTATAGGGTAATAGCTGTTTGATAAGCTGTCCTAGAAAGGCTCATTCATAGGTGATGTCATCATCTGAGTCTCATTATGAAACAGCACTCGCCAAGGGTTTGATGACTGCCATATTCTGTTCTCTTCTACCACCTTGACATACTCTACAGTCACCTGGGAAGGGGATCGTGCAGGTTAGTTGGACCTTTGGGCATGTTCTTGGGGATTACCTTGATTAAGTTAACTCAAGTAGGAAGTTCTGCCTGCTGTGGACAGTTACCATTTCCTAGGCAGAAGTCTAAACTGTAACGAAAGCAAGCCGAGCCATTGGCATGCATACTTGTATTGCTCTGTGTTCCTGAGTAGGGGTGGGAGGTCACTGACCCACCTCAAGCACTTGCTGCATGACTTCCTTGCTGTAATGAACTGTAACTTGGAGCTGTGAGCTAAAATGAACCCCTTCAGCCTCTCCCTGTGCCTTAAGTTGGTTTTGTCATGGCATTTTATCACAGCAAAAGAAGAAGAAACCAAGAAGCATTACTTGGTTCCAGTTTTCTAAGAATATCTATCAGCACCTAGTAAATTATTTGATCTCTTGGAGGGAACCTCCAAAGGGCAGAATTTAGTTCCTCACTGAATCCCCAACATCTACAATTTCTGACATATGGTACATGTCCACCTAGTATATGCATGTTAGGCAGAATTTCATTTCTAAGTGGATGTAACTTGGTTTTGTTTTGGTTCTCTCAGACCTTGTTCTTCCCAAAAGAACTTAGGGTTGCCTTAGACATCCTAAAAACCAAGTTATATTTTATTCCCTTTGACTGTGTCCAAAATAACCTTTCTGAGATTTGAGAAACGTATGCTTATTTAATGCATAGAAGGTGATGATTGCACAGCCATGTTTGTTTGTTTATTTTACCTGTATACATATCTTTATCTCTGTCCAGTGTGGTGAATTGTTTACCATTATGCCACATCATAGAATCCCCTGCATTCCCCTGGTAAGTTCCCAAGCGCAGTCTGTAAAATTCACTTTCAGATTCCAGACGAAAGCTACTGTATTCTGCATAGACCTTCTTGTCACTCCAGTCTTCTAATTCAATCATCAGCTTATAATTGTCTTGATTACTGAGCTTATAGATATTGTCCAGTCCAAGCCAGTACTCTCCGTCAATGTTTCCAAACCCTTTCTGTTAATAAACACAGAAACAGGAACATATAAATAAGTATAGAGATAGTAAATATTGCTGCAGCTACAAGTTAAGTTTAAACAATGAGTACAGTGAGAATATTGTCCATTTAGAGTAATTTGACTTCTGTGGTAGACTGCCTTACTTCCGTAAGTTCATTTCAGGTCTACACTGTCATTTTCTTTTGCTTTGTTTTTTCTTAATGTCAGTACTAATTTACATAGCTTCAAATACTACAAGAATAGCAAAGGCAAACAAAATGTGTTGATAGCTACTGAAAACATTGATTGAATTACCTCAGTCCTTCAGAAAGGTTCCTGATCACACCCTCATCCAGAGTTGTGTGTCCTCAAAGTATGTGCATACTGTCCCAATGTTAGGCAGGCAGAGCATATACAAAATCATGACCAGTGTGCAGTCAAAATGATAGTGTGTTAGAACAAATAATCTTTAACTTTATTATTATAAGTAAAAAATAAGTATTGTAGTAATCTTTAATGTTCACCCTGTGAATATTGTAAATTACTATCTGAAAGAAATGGACTATATTAATTTAGTAAGGATTTCACATTGGAGGTTTACAGCAGAATAGATTTAGTAAACTTCACCTTAACATGAGAGTTTGTCTTGAAAAAGAGTGAAAGGGAGGTGTTTGTGTGTGTGTGTGTGTGTGTGTGTGTGTGTGTGTGTGTGTGTGTGTGTGTCCGTCCACATGAGGCAGTTACTTGTTTAGAAGTCTCTATCATTTCTGACCTGGATATATTAAATTAATGTTTCATCCTTAACTTCCAGTAAAATTTTACCTAACAAGTTAAGCACATGGTTACTTCACAGTTTTAAACAAGGAGTTAGCACTCTAGACGATCTATTCTTCCCTGTTTGCAGTCTTTAACTGATGATATATACATATCTACCTCACTCATAGATTACCATTATGAACATCAGAATTACCAACAGGCCAGTGGTTATTTCCTCAAACTGATAATTACATGATCTGATTCTATCTAGAAATCTAGTTGTGCTCATAGTCCTGCAGTCCATGTCATGATAAAACTTAAAGCATGGTTATTAAGAATAGTTAGTCTAAGAAGGGGTCATTTTTTTAAAAGTTGTATACTTTGTTATTATTTAAATACTATAATGTTAAAAACAAAAAAGTAGTTGCAATAAAAAGTGGAATCAAAGGGCTGAAGAGATGGCTTCGTGGTTAAGAGCACTTGCTGGGTTTGATTCCCAGCATCCACATGGCAGCTCACAACCACCTGTAACTCCAGTTCCAAGGGATCCGATGTCCTCTTCTGACATCAGTGGGCACTGTATGTATATCGTGTACATGTTAATACAGACAAAACACCTTCACATACATAGATAGATAGATGGATGGATGGATGGATGGATGGATGGATGGATGGATGGATGGATAGAGAGAGAGAGATTTTAAATTATTAAATTATCTTTGTAAAAGATGTTATCTAGACTCAAAGGAATATCTAAAAGAATATCTTTTGTTTTCTTTTCCCATTTTAACTTTAGCTGTACAACTATAGATGATGAAAATCATATGGCTAGTTATGTTTTTATACCTGCATGTCTTGTTTACTGCATGGTCACTATTGCAAGACCTGCTTGGGTCTCCTTCCCTATGTCTGAACTCACTCATTTACCTTATAATTTTCCCAGTTTCTGAAGAAATTGACAGAGCCATCTGTTCTTTTCTGAATAACAGTCCAACCCCCAGGATCCAGACTGTTTTCACACCATAACTGCATCAGTCCATTGCTGTTCTCAGGTTTAATCATATAAATCCCACTGGCCGAGTGCCCAGCTTCCTTTGCTTGCTGACAGTCTTTGAATGGACCTGTAATTCAAATGTCGATTGTTGAGAAATATAAAAGATAAGTATTAAAATAGTTCTTAAATTAAGATTCTTTCCTTCTTGGCTTTCTTTACAGATAACCACATTTTATCTGTTATGTGCTTAATACTCTACAAAAGTTAAAGAAACTAAATTTAAAATATATATTAAAACTAAATGAAAAGATGACATCATTCCCACTTTTCAAAGCATTAACTGTTTCATCTCCCATTCTTCACTAGTTTGTATTTTATAAATTTGCTCTCCTAAACACATAGAGTATTGTATTGTCTTTTATATTTAACAAATGTTTCCTTGAAGCTATGGTCTTCATCCTAATACTAGAGTAGCCACTGGCAATTTGGTTTTCTTGCTCTATCATATGGACATTAAAGTTTCTTCTAATTTTTGCTATAATAATTAATACTGTGCTAAATGACTTTGTCTTTACAATCTTTACTTTTTTTATATACTTAAAAATATTGTAGGATTGATCTGCTGGTATTACTAAACACATTTTCCTGGTGCCATATTTATGGTATCTTTTATTTCAAGGGAACACACATAGTTTGTATGTTCAGTAAAAGTGGAGCATTACAGCCTAGTAAGCTTTGGCAGTATTAAATGTTGCGTTTCCCTTTTAAAAACTCAATCATGTTCATTCACTCATTCATTAAATGCTATGAAGCCCCGAAATAAAGAAAATGGAATCTCCCAAACTTAAGTAATCTTAACTTTCTCTCACATCCATAAAGAATACATGTCAGGCCAGTGTAAAGTCACACACCTTTAATCTTGGTACTCAGGAGACTAAGGCCAGATAATTGCCACAAGAGCAAAGTGAACATAGTGAATTCTGGACTGGCCTGGCTTCAGTGGAGACCCTTTCTTAAAGCTAGAAAAAAAAGTAGGAATGTTGGTCTAAATGTCTTCCTAAGATACCGTCTGAGTTATGGCTAAAATGATTTTCTTATCAAAGCTACCAGGTGACCCTGTGATAGCTTTCAGTGATCCACAGAGAGTAGTTAATTCAGGTCATGTGAGGTAGTGGTAAACTTTTGCTCATCCACTCTTCTGCTCCTGGGTAAATGTTCCGAGTTGCTGTGCAGTATTTGCCCTTTTGTTTCATAGCACCCGCCATTCCGTATTTTTAAACTTACTCTGTGCACAAATGCCAGAGAACCACCTGTGGGAGCATGGTCTTTCCTTCTTTTGGGTAGGTCCTAGCAACCGATCTCAACGTCGGCCACACGGGCTCTTGCCTCCTAGACATTCTGATTTTGGCCAACTAAGATTTTTGACTTTGTAAAAATTACAAAAGCATGATGTTTTGTAGAATAATTTGTATATTGTGGGATCTAGAGCGAAAGCCCTGTAGTTGTACTGACCATCCTGGAGTTTCACCCTACAACATTGTTTGCAGCCTTTTCTTTTAAAAGCAGGAGCAAATTATGACCCAGAAAAAAAAAAACAAGTATGCTAAACAAAGATATTTGAATAAGAGAAAGCTTTTAAAGCCATTTGTCAATATCTTTCCTAAATACTTCTAAATTCTGACAGAAATTTTAAATATCTGAAAATAGTTTAGTCAAAGTTCTTAAAAGAATTTCTGTTCTATAACTATAATTGGATTACTGGAATTTTGAGCAATGTGTGCTGAGAACATAGTGTCGTCCCATTGGATCGTACTAAGATAAGTTAATTTCATCATGTAAATACTGCAGCATTTCTGTCATTGCAGGGGACTCTCGGGGAGGGTGATCTTTTCCTTCTGGATTGCCCCTGGGGATGGAGGCAGCATGTGTTGTTCTTCAGACTTCATGTCTGCTGTTTAAGTTCAAGTAAATGAATCAGTCTTTTTACTTTAAATACAAGGAAATGGGAAAGTATATGTAAAAATTAGAGTATCAAATTCTCTACTCCATGTTTTTGTATTTCATATATAACTTAGAATTTTTTTTAAATTGTCAGTGTCTATACTACAGATTACTGGTTAAAAAATAAGATGACCTGGAAAAACATTTAAAATATTTAAACATAAAAGTTTCATGGGTTCTTTTTTTTCTCTTTTGAGATTTTCTTATCTTTTCATCCATTGTGAAGGCCTCAAAGACAATTGCTTTAAATCTTTTTTTAAATTCTTGTTCTTTGCTTCCCCAGTTTGCTGAAGTTGTTTGTTTTTTGCTTTGAGATGGGATTTTAGCGTGTCACCCAGGCTGGCCTGGGAGCAGTGGTGTAGTCCAAGCATGTCTTAGAATCTCACTCATACTGGCTCAACCTCCCAGATACTGGAAGTACAGCCCTTGTTGTCATAACCGGCTTAGTTTTTCTTTTCAAGTCGTGTGGATTTGGGGTTTCAGTCAAAGTATTCAGAGGTTTACCTCCCTTTTTCCTTTTTTGAGACAGGCCTTGATATCCAGATCCTCCTGCCTTAGCCTCAAGTGCTGGAATTGGAATGTATGCCCTGTGCTTATCTCTGCTCAAAGCCATCAGCACAGTACTTAACACACTGTCATTGTCAGCCCCTTTTTCTCTGTTTCTGTTCCTGATCTTTACCTGCGGAAGTTATGTGCTAAATGACTTCAGTACTTTATTTAATACATACATATTCATTTAATACATACATATTCAGTATGGCTCATCAAAGGTTAGGATATAGTCATTTCTTCCACAGAGAAATAAGACATTACTGAAAACCCTTAAGTTATAAAAATTTATAAACTAAAAATAACAACTGATTTTAGCCATAAACATACTCTGGATTCTACTGCATTGCATGTGGTACAAAACACTACTACACGTGTGCTGTAGTCAGGCAGAGAAGAATAGTTACATTTCAGATAGAATGAAAGGTTTAATTTCCTACAGGGGAGAGAATGGAAGGAAGCATGAGGACTCCCAATCCTATAATTTGACTAGTCTGCATGATATACATGGTAAAGTATTTGTTCATTCATAGACAGGGACTTTATCTTTCATTGGGTATCCACAGTATGGACACATTTGAGGACTCTCATGTACCATTTGGGGACTCTCATGTACTTGTACTAAATAATTTCTGATGGTAGTCATTTTCAGAATTTCTTGAGTTTTATATTGTTACTTTAAGAAGTATCTTTTCTGGGGGGGCAAAGCTTCAGTCGGTAACTTTCTTGCTATACAAGGGTCTGAGTTCGGATCTCTGATGTTCCCATAAATGCTGGGTAACTCAGTGCTGGATTTGGGGGTCAGAGACAGGAAGATCCCTTTAGCTCGCTGGCCAGCCCATCTAACCACATCAACGAACTTAATTTAATGAAAGACCCTATCTCTAAAAGGTGGAGATCAGTCAAGGAGGATACCCAGTGTCGACCTTTGACTGCATGTACACAAATATTTTTTTTTATTTAAAAGAATTATCTTTTCTGAATCTAGTACAGGCGAACTGTTTCCAGGTCCAGAGATAGCTAAACAACCTTGAGGTTAGGTGGGAGGTGAGAGAGGCTGTAAGAAAATGTTGGTTGTGCTGCAGTGTGATAGCACTTTGATGACGTTTCAAGCAGAACATGAGGTCAGGATGGGAAGCACAGCTGAGATTTGAGCAGGAGTGTGCTGTCTTCTGCATCTAAGCTAAGAAGGAGGAACACAAGTTAGGCACATTGGGAGTTTGGGGGCCTCGTCTACGCCTCATGTGTGTTTCCCCTTGCACAGCTGTTATAAGTGTCTGTGTCTGAAGTGTAAACGATGGGGTGATGTTTACAGGCTGTCACGTGGACCAGAGACTTGCCTCAGTCACTGCCTGGTTGCCTTACTTTAGAAGTCCAATCTTGGTGGGTTAGCCACATTTTGTTCCTGAATTGTGACTTTAGGGAAGTTATTTTAAATTCTTACTTAGGGCCTGGTAGTATTTCACTTAATGACACAGAGGTGCTGTGGGCAGCCCACATAAAAACTGCTCCTGTCTAAGCAGGGTCCATGTTCCTGTCTTGTTTCTGCTGACTCTCTAACTTAGCTTCACAAGTATTTACAATGTACCCTCTTGAGTACAGTGTGGCTATCACATTTTGTACAAGATACATACTTAAAAGTAGCCCTTTGACTTACTTAAGTTGTTATAAAATATTTAGAAATGTCACAGTTTGGGATGGTGACAAAGGCCAGGTTAAGTTGCCCCTGGCTTCTGCCTGGACAGGCATGTTCTGAACTGTGTCAGATTTGGGACTAAAGTTCTCCAGTTGATACTTTACTGCCAGCACTCAAACGTTGTAGGTTTCTAGGCAATTTAAAGATATATCAGCCTATTTTGTTTAATAGCTAGGTTTTTTTCTGCTACTTAACAGGTGCTCAGATGTTTAAACAAATTGAAGAATTCTAGGTAGTCTGAATCCAATTTTCATTTGATAAAACTTCTAGTACATGCAAATTTAACTTTCTCTTCAACTTTTGACAGTGGACCTTGTGTTTACAGTTTGAATATTTGTTAGGCTTAATTGATATAAAACCTCAGGAAAATTTAGTTCAAATTATTTTGTGGAACATGGATAAAATAAGCAGTGCTCCTCTTTAGTAAAGACAGTAAATGTCAGAATCAGTGTTTTGTTTTTATAAATATACTATTAACCCATTGCTTACTGTTGATCTTTGCAGAAATATTTTCTCATTGATGCTTGCATGCTTTTTAAATTTTTACTCTAGAATTAAATGATAGTTTATTTTTATAAATTAACTTCTTTCTCTGAATCATATTTAACACTAACAAAAATCTTAAAACTACTACTAGAAAATTATCATCTTTATTTTTGAAAATCCAGATGAACTTAATGCTTTGCATATTATCAAACAAATTTATCCCTGATTCAGAAATTTGGGGCTTAAAAGGGTATAGGCAGGAAGACTATATAGCTTCAAAGGATATAGCTATTCTTTTAAAACCAAACTTTTATCTCCCTTTTCTTGCATGCAGTGATCTTGAAATAAGCTTCATTCATCCCCTGTGATACACATTTTAGTTCTTCTCAAAGCAAAAATCTAGGTTGTGTATGGTGAGGTACTAGAATGTTCTAGTACCTCACATAAGAGGAGTCCTGGTCTTTGTCATTTTGAAACTGGCTGAATACCCTTTTAGGTAGTACAGGTCATTGTGTGTTTTACATTGTGCATATAGAGACTCTAGAATAACTACCTATATGAACAGTGCAGTAATGATTTTCTTGGAGCCAGAACATATGTGAGCATAATAGCTGTCTGTTTTTACTCATTTTGTCTGTGTCCAAACAGTATTAGATACTTCTCCCTAGAGTTGTAAAGATAATTTTAATATTATATGAAGAGATAAAATAGTAGGCTTATTAGCTGTTGCTTGTAGGAGTGTATATTTGTTAGGAATTGGGGTATTAGAACTGGGAGACATGTGATAGGCATCATCAGTTCATTCGGTACTATTTTTACTCGAGGCATATGAATAAGCCAAACCTTAATGAGGGGAGTGGCACTTGTTAGGACAAGCTGATTGTATCCGTAACTTTGTTTATAGAGTGAAACTGAAGTTAATGTTTACTGAAAGTAATAATGAAAAGTTTGTCTCTGCCTTAATTTTTATGTTAAAGAGTGCTTTCTTGGGACTGCTGTGTGCACCATTGTTTTTCATGAACGTGAAAACACTGTAGGGATTGGGCATACCAAATCCCTGGCATGAGTGTAATTCTGTGAATTTTCTTGTACTGTATGAAAAACCTACAAAGTAATGCTTTCATTTTGTAAAGCATTTTATTGATTTGTTATATAACTAAGATGCACATCTTCATTTCTGCTAAAATTGACGATGCCCATTGACTTAGATTTCAGGATGTATTTAGAAAACTCAACAGTAGTTGTTTCTACACTTCTGTAATTGTACCTCCATAGTTAAATCAAAATACACCTCAGTCGTCTTTCTGTGAATTCCATATAAACACACCAATAAATTATATACCTTAAAAGCATAATAAAACTTATGTTTTGAAAAGGATGGGAAAGATAAATGTTTTCTCTTTTCTAAGCCCAGTGGATAGTTTTGTACATGTCTTTGAAAATTAAAGGGCTTGGGTTACTAATTAATGATCATCATTTACCTAATTTAAATAATACCTGGACGGTCACTGCTTTTAACAGTTTTGTTTTCATGGAAGTCTTTAGAATAACCACTGTAAGAGGCTCTGTGTTATCATCTGTTTTAGCACCTACAGTTGAGACACAGTATCCATCTGCCAGAGGGAGCTTATATTTTAGAATGCATTTCTCTTAGATGTGCTTTGGGTTCTTGTAAAAGTAATATAATTCAAGAAATGTACGTGTTACAGACAGTAGAGGTGTTTGTGGATATGTACAACTACTTCAGACTTGTGAGGTCAACAGCAAAGCAGTCAGAAGAAGGAATTCAGAAATTGAGACAGAGCTTTCTGTATCAGTGGAGGAGTTTGTACTGTTATCTAAAGCACTGGTTGGAGCACAGGTTAGAAATTGTTTAGCCTTGGAAAACAGAACCCCTTTTTTCTCTTGATGTAACAAACCTAGGTTTTGTGTAGATGTTTTAAAGTTGGAAAGAGGAAAGAACGTAACCCCAGGATCTGATTAATCATAGAGCAGTGTTAGGGACCAGACTCCATTGTAGACTTGAGGAGAAAGAGAGCAAAATGTGAAATATTCTTTCTGAAAGGGATGAGGGCAAGAGCACAAGAGGAACAGAAAGGATGCTGAAGGGTGGGAGGAGGTGGAGCATCAGCTGCAGCTCAGGGTGCAGAGCCAGTTCCATCGCTAGTGCATCAGTGGTCGTGGACAGCAGCCTTCATCGTAAGAGTTTGAATTGATGGCAGAGTACTTTTCACGGTGGGGGGGGGACTTGGAGCAGGGAGGAGAGAGAGATTTTAGATCAAATCCTAATACTACTTTAGAAATTGAAATTTTACCTGAACATGTATAATGACATCACCACACAAGAACAAGGGCTTACTAAGAGTATTGTTGCATGAATTGTATAACATGCTAACTTCATTCTTCCATTTGACCAGTCAGAGATGACTCACCTTCATTGATGAAAGTCACTGCTGGAATCTTGAAAGGGCTTTTTGTGGGAGCTGTTGCCACATCTGGTGGTGGTATAACATCTCTGGGATACCCTGGATCCCTCTGTATCTCATTGCCTCCTAGCAGACCAGGCGTGTACTGGGGGCTGTTAGGAATGTTGCGTGGCACAACCTGAACAAGAGGGGGAGACACGTGGGTGTCTTGTCGGGAAAATACCCTCAAGCACTGTTCTTCCAACAATGTGATCATCACAGACTGGTTATTGACAAGATCAGTCAAGGAAGTATATTTCACCTCTAGTTCCCTGTACCTTGTTGCCATCTTCAGCATTTCTGTGGTGACGTTCAGAATTTTGTTTTCCAGCTGGGAAAGCTCGAGTGAATTGTCTCTTTTCCGGATAATCTCATGTAATAGTTGCATATAGAGTTGAGTGACTCGAGAGTTCATGTTCCGGCTCTCCTTTCGCAGCAGCTTTACCTCATTTACAATGTTCCCATCTACGTCCACCACCAATTGCAGGACGTCTATCTCTCGTTTCTGCCTAGAGAGCACATCCTTCAGGTTCTCAAGGTCCATCCTGGTGATCATGTCTTTAATAGTACCTGCATCTTGACCTTTGGTGTTGACACAGATTGGCCCTGTTATTTTTTGCTCAGGTACCAAGAATGTATATGAACATTTCTTTGTTTCCTCTTTACCGTCTGTGGCACGGGGATATCTCCTTTGGGTTACTTTTTTTATTTTGAACTGTTCTCCTTTGCAGTGACCAATGCCCAGTAGAAAGAGTATCACACCTAGGGTCCAAACAAAAGCCTTCATTTTGAAATGAAGTTGTATCACAGCGTCTTTTCAAAAGCAATTGAGTGAAGAGAAAAACATAAAGAGAATTAATATAAATTTACATGCAGATCAAAATAACACTGAGATTCCATCTTATCCCTGATAAAATGGCTGTTATTGAAAACATAACAAATGCTGTCAAGGATGAGTATGGAGGCACATTTTACACACAAGTAGTGGGAATATAAACTAGTATGGACACTATGGGAATCAATGTAGAGGTTCCTCAAACAAGAACTAGAGCAATCAAGTCAGGCATTGGTGGTGCATGCCTTTAATCCTAGCACTCTGAAGGTAGAGGCTGGCTGTTCTCTGTGAGTTCAAAGCCAGCCTGATCTACAAAGTGAGTTCCAGGACAACCAAGACTAGACAGAGAAACCCTATCTCAAAATACAAAAACAACAAAAGGAAAAAATAGAACTGACATATGGTTGAGCTGTTTCACTCCTGGAAATGTATCTGAAGGACTCCTAAGTCAATGTACTTGAGAGAGATTTGCTTACCCTTGTTTATTGCAACATAATTCACCACGGTTAAGTTATGCAATCAGCCTAGGTATCCATCAAGAGAAGAATGGAGAAAATTCGGTATACATACACAATAGTTCAACTATAAAGAACAAAGATAAGTCTTTCACAGAAAAATGAATGGGATTCAAGTCATCTTACTAAGAAAATAGGCCAGACTCCAAAAGGCAAATATATGGAACCTAGGTTTTATTTGAACATACATGATATTCACATCTGACGTGAAAATAGGAAATTATTTGGGGAAAGGACTAGAGGAAAGATGGTATATGAATATGGTCAAAATATATGATATACTTGGACAAAAATATTGTGAAGCCTATTGCTTTGTATGGTGAATGTAAGCTAGTCTTTTTTTTTTTTTTTTTTTTTTTTTTGGTTTTTACGAGACAGGGTTTCTCTGTATTGTTTTGGAGGCTATCGGTCCAGCCCGGCCTCGAACTCACAGAGATCTGCCTGCCTCTGCCTCCCGAGTGCTGGGATTAAAGGTGTACGCCACCACCACCCGGCGCTAGTCATTTTTTAGATCAGTAATACTAAAGAATAAAACCTCTATATTAGTTACTTTTCTGTTATGATAAAACACCATGACCAAAAGCCACATATGGGAGAAAGTATTCTGGTTTCCACTTCTGGAGAATCTATCAAGAAGCTGAGGAATCACATGAGTAAAGACAGAGAAATCTCAGACCAACTACAGCTCTTCCTCCCACAAGGACACCTCCTAAACCTCCCCAAAAAATTCCACCAGCTGGGGGCCAGTAAGTCCATTCTAACCACCACAGCATTTAAGGGAACGCTGAGTGATTGGTACTAGTAAATTAGATTTAGCTTGAATTCTTGAGTTCACTGTTAAGTTAGTATTTTGATGTTTCTTGATGTTTGTTGAAGGATTGGATCCCTATCTCTTGCAGCTCTTTCAGCCCCCCCCCCATTTCTTTTGTTCCCAAGCTCACTGAAGAGATCTTGATCAGTGCCCGTTCTGTGAGAGGCACACTTCGAGGTGCTCTTAGCGCTTTTAAGACCCCCCAAAAGTGCCTTCCTTTAGGAAGTTCACTCTATCAAGGCTATGAAAACAGTACATATGTATATAAGATAGTAATTAAGGCATTGCTTGGTTAGTACTATAGTCTCTAGGTGGTTGTTCTCGTCAGTGTTTCAGAGAGTAACAATATCGTATAAGATGTTGGTCTGTAGTAAATACCATGACTTTTCTTTGACCTACCAAGTCAAACATTTTAGATTGAGGGGAAGGGGAACAGTTTTACTATCACATGCTTTTGCAGCGTCTGCTTTTTGCTGGAAACTGGTTTAAGAATGACAGGGTGCTCCCAATCATTGAATTGTAGTCATGCATATGCTTTAACCTTGTGGGTGATTCAGCGGGTGTTTTCTGTTAAGAAAGTCCAGTGAGTTGTATTTGGTTTAAAAAAAAATCCTAATTTTCAACAGCACTACCAAATTGAATATTAAGAACCTTTTTGTACCCGTGTGTGTTGTAGAACAAAGCCACACTATATTAGAAACAGGTCTAGATCTTGGGTTCCTTGGCCCTCAGTCAGTATTTGTAGCAGCAAGACGTCAGTCACAGTGTGCTGTTGGACTGTGTCCTATTGGCTGTGGCAGATGAGAAGTACCTATTCTTTAGAGTCCAACACTGGAACTCTTTCCAGGAGCCTAGATCTCTCCCTTTGTCAGTGGGAAGGATTGGGGAAAGTGCCCATGTGATGAGGTTCATGAGCACTTTGTACCTCTGTAAGGCTAGCCATGGGTACCTTTGGAGCTTTTCTTACCTGTTTTTCTGCCTGAGCCCTTGCTTCTTCATTTAAGAGGTTAGACACCAAGTTGTTTATACATAGAACTGACAACACTCAGTAACACTACTGAATACCTAGTGGATGCTCTTAAGTAAATGCCACTGTCTTTAGTCCCTTACCAAACTCTTGACATCATAACCCATTGAGGCAGATGATTCCGATACTCATTTTCACACAAACTGGCACCCCACAGTGCCCATATCAGCTGTGAGAATGTATGGCCAGGCTGGGTGGTGGTGGCCATACTGTTAATCCCAAGGCTTTGAAGGCAGAGGCTAGCAGATCTCATGAGTTCAAGGACAGCCTGGTCTTTAGAATGAGATCCAGGACAACCAGGACTACACAGAAAAACCCTGTCTCAGGGAGAAAAAGGGTAAAGCCAGAATTTGAACCAAGACTTTTAATTAACTACTTTATCATATGACTCTGCTTTCAAACTGCTTCCTGTCAGGAAACAAAAAGCAGTATCACTCTCAAAGAAGTCCCAGAGAAGAAAAGACTCAAGTGGGATTCAAATACTAGACCTGCAATGTGTGTACTATTGCGGCTATCATAGCAAAAGGCATCTTGGCAGTGCTGCTTGTGATCTTTCCCTGACCTGTTCCTTTGTTGTGCAAAATCACTTGCAGGTCATTCTTATGCAACCTGTGTTTACACCCCTTACTTTGTTGCTATCATTCCTGTCAGTTGGTGTTTGTGTAATCTAATTTACAAACCACACACACACACAATTTTCTTAGTGAAACACGGACTGTGAGCTGTCGTGAAGACTGTTGCCACCTTTTCTGTTTAGTGCTGTGTTCAAAGAGGACAGATAATGAAATCGAGCAAAGAATGGGAAGAGTATGGGAAGTTATTTGGTGAAATAGTAACATTTACATCAAAACCTTCTGTTGCTGACTGGTGGCAATAACACATAACTGAGGACTTGAGAAATACAAACCAGAGGACATCCTTTTGTCACAGGGTCACCTTTTACTTTCCAAGAGTTACCTATACTAAAACTGGTGATACATTTAGAGTTATAATTACAGGAAATTCTTGGCATTTAAATGTAACTGTTAAAAAGAAAAACAGGGAACATTAAGAATAAAATGAAATAGAATCCATTAGCCTCTCAGCAAATACACACACACACACACACACACACACACACACACCACTTTTCCTAAACCTCCTTATATAATTTTAACAATAGGACAGAAATTCTTGAGTCACTAAAATATTTAAATACTTTCTAATGAAATAAGCTACCAAGACAAGGAAATTTTAAACTTAAAACATGAGAACTTTTGGTGTTTTGGTCTATTCTGCCTTGTGTCACCACCGTTCAGAAAATCAATCATAGGACTTAAGATGATATTAAAAGTGGCAATTGGAAGCTCCTTGTGGTCGTGGTGCTTGTTTTATGCTTCCTTCTTACAGCAGTGATGATCTAATTGTCCTTATAGCAACTAGGAGACACATTCTTAAGGAGTGGGCTAGATACGTCATGAGCAAAGAACCAATTTTTGTAATTTGTTACGGTTACATTTTCTAAAAATATTATCTTACCCAGTGTTTCCCACACGTGTTCAGATTTAAAAGTGAAAGATCCATAAATCTGCATTACCTTGCAAAACCTTTCTATTTTGAAGCTTTCCCAGGTCCCAAGACAATGTTATAAATTAGTTACAGTAACTGAAGTTTGCATCTGTGTCTTTGCCTGGTGGCTTTTAGAAAGAAAAAAAAATCTGTGCAGTTCCATTAGTTTTCTTAGTAGTATTTCTCTTCGTGGTTGCTGTATTGCCAGCTGTAATTAATAATAAACACCTGGATTTGCTTCCGTTGGCTGTGCCCTGAGACGTGAAGGTAGCTGTGAGAAGTACTGACCAGGTGGATGCAGACCTTCCTGGTTGTGTTTCAGGAAGTGACTTGAGAATAGCCCAGGAAATGGCCTCCAAACAGATAAATCATCATCTGTGATTTACACACGCATGCACGCACACTCGCGCCTGAGTCATTGGATGACCTGATGTTAAGTGAAGTCCTGCTTTTGTCATGGCAAGCAGTAACAGAGATGGCAGTGTTTCAAATCGAGTATGACTTAGAACTCTTATCAGACTCTCCTATAAAATTTACATGTATTTAATGGAGCTCTCAGAATTGAGTTTTAATGTTGAAGTAAAGCTGGAAAAACAAAACTGAAAATTTTATCATTATTTGTTGAAAATTCTTACAACTAAAGATTAAAAGTCAGCAAACCTTCCCATCATAACAAACTTGGCTGTCTTGGTGTTAAAGCTTTCTATTGATGAGTAGTAATTTCATAATCCTCGTGATTAACAGAGCCCCTTCGTAGACTATTGAGGGACACCTAGATCTTAGATGTAGTTAAAGCAGACTTTTGACCTTTCATTTTTTTCCAATGGTTAAATCTCCTGAGTTCATATTGTTAATCCTTGTGACCCTAACATTTCTCAATCCTGACCTCCTCAGGTTTTGATTCTTTGTATCAATTACTTTTACAACTAATTCCAGTTAGAAGCAGTTTTAATCTGTGGCCAAAATGAAGTATCTGTTGTAGGTAAACTTAGGAAACTCTTTAAAATGATTAATTGTCATAAGAAATACCATAGATTAACTTAAAGTCTTTTTTGAGTTTTGTTCTATTGTAATTGAGATTTTGTTGCCAACATTCAGCTAACCAGTTCTTAGCTTTGTTTTGTAGCCATACACGCATACACACTCACACTTTCAGATAAGAAACCCACCATGCTCACAATTGTTTTCTTTAGTTTATATCCTTTGTTGCTGATTGTGCTGTATAAGCCTTAGGCATTTAATGAGTTACTTGTAAAATTTCCTAGTGTTACTAAAGCATTTGTTTTCAGAAACCCAGCAAAGTGTTTCAGTCTATAGTCACTGTAGTTTGAACCTCAAAGAATACATTAACCATCATGAAGTACTTCATGACTAGCTTTTACAGAAAAACGAAACAAAACCTTAAGATGCAAATCAGTAGCAACTTCTAAAGCTCGTTGGTAGATCTCATAATTTCTAGTACAAAGGAAAGTTCTGCATTTGACATACAATTTTGAATAAATATAAGAGAAATGTCAAAATACCTTTTGTGTCTGTTGAAAAGTAAATCCAGAAACTTTGTCCTTACCCTTGCCTTCTAAAAGATCAGTGTAGAAGTCTGTTGGTCTCTGACTTCAGTGGCAACTGCATTTTTTTTTCCGACGGTTGAATCCAAGCAATAAGGAACTTGTGAGTGTGACAGGCCACCTATGTAATTTGGGGCTGTCTGTGGACTTTCTCTAATCCAGCAGAGAATGCATTGTGGCTGTGCTGTCTGCAGCATGGAGCAGTGCAGAAACCAGCCGTAGCTGACAAACTGTCCGCACAGCACTGGAAGAGTGATTCCCTCTTGTTCTCAGTAGACTCAAGTTCAGCCCACATATTACGTCATTAGAAAACTGCTGGAGCCTGGGGACGGGGTGGAAATCTCCTCCTTAGGATTTCCTCTGCAGCCCTAAATGGGGAGGGGGAGCCGGACTAGCAGGAGGTTGAATAGCTCTGAACAAGGAGAGATGTGTGCAGGTTGAAGGAAGGGCACCATCTGGAAACAGACTATGGTAGTTCAGCAAGCAATTATAAAATAAACATTGTAGTCTGCTGGCCACAGAGCTTTTGAGTTGAAAAACTAGTGCTCCGCTTTGGAAGAAGCATCGAGTGAGGAGCTAGACTTTGCCGGGAAGCGGCGTCCTAACATTCAGTTCTTAACAGCCTCAGGAAACGTCTAAACATTTTATTCTAGCGTTGCTGTTTCAGAACATTTTAAACTTTCAAGAAATTGTGATGAACTATGTAATGTTTCTTAAGAGAAAACTGCTTTCATACCTGGACCTTTATCCTAGCACTCGGAAGGCAGAGACACTCAGATCCCTGTGAATTTGAGGCCAGCCTGGGAGATACACAGTGAGCTCCAGGTCAGCCAGGACTAGTGAGTGAGAACATGACAAGAGGGCGAAGAGACCTTGCTTTTATATGTAATAATAATAAATCTAGTGGTTTTTAATGTTAAATTCTGTTACATAATTAGTGCTTCTTTCCATCTTAGGTTCCATCTTATGTAATATGCTTGCTTACAAAATCATGCATGTCCTAGCTAGGGTTACTATTGCTGTGAAGAAACACCATGACCAAAAACAACTTAGGGAGGAAAGGGTTTATTTTTCTTAACACTTCCCTACCACTGCTCATCATGAAAGGAAGTAAGACCTGGAGGCAGGAGCTGATGGAGACTCCATGGAGGAGCGTGCTTACCAGATCCCTCCTTTTGTCTTGCTCAGTCTGCTTTCCTGGCACCCACCAGCCCAGGGGGGGCTGGGCCCTCCCACATCAATCGCCAACTAAGAAAATGTCCTACAAGTCTGCCTACAGCTAGAACTGATGGAGGCATTTTCTCACTTGAAGCTCCCTCCTCTTGAATGACTCTAGCTAATGACAAGTTGACTTAAAACTAGCCAATTTAATGCCTATGATTGTCTATTATAATGCTTTATATTGTCTATATAAGGCAGTAACAAGGCAAAACAGTTAAAAAATTGAGTCAAGCAAATGAAATGTCATTTTACACCTCTAATTTGGCATAATTTAAAATAGCAACTGTTGGCACCAAGTGCACCAGTAGAAACTTACACACAGTCTATATAAGTATGTAAGCTTTGAAAAACAGTATTGGTACCATCTCCTGAAGCTGAGTAATGTTATACCTTACAGCATGAGCATTTGTTTACTGGAGTGAATGTACAGACATACATGCATCCTAGAGAAAAATCTCTACAGGCATGTCTATAGTAACCGAGAGAGAGGAGGGAAGTAACTCAAAACTTTATAAAATAAAATGAGTAAGGTGTAATATAATCATATATCAGTTTATTCTCAACTTAAGAAATTACAAAAGCATTTAAAATCAGAAATAAAATAGTAACAAAATAATGATGTAAAATAGTCATGGTAGACCATATCTGAAAAATTGTATTTAATAAATGCTTACAAAATTATCTGGAATGTAGCAAGCTTTTTTTTTTTACATTTATGGAACATTTTGTGTGTGTGTGTGTGTGTGTGTGTGTGTGTGTGTGTGTGTGTGTGTTGCCCAAGAAACATAGCACATGTATGTAGGTCAGAGGGTAACTTGCCTGAGTCAATTCTCTCCTTCCACCAGGGGATTGAACTCAGTCCTTAGGCTTGGCTGCAAGTGCCTTTACCAACTGTGCTATCTCAGGTTGCCAACAAGCATTTTCATAATGTTACAGGTGTTGTTGAACTTCACACATAAAGAATTAATTTCTTTGTATGTCTTTGAGGAAACTAAACTAGGCACAGCCTATTCCTGTATGACCCACAAGTACTTCAACATACCCTCCATATACTCCCTTACTTGAGAGCCAGAAACAGGGAAATGTTGGCGGCCAGATGAGGCTACATCGTGAGTTCCAGGTCAGCTTGACAGTCTAGGCTACAAAGCAAGAACTATCTAAAAGGAAGCTGGGGGGAGGGAGGCTAAAAGGAATGCTCTTAAAATCCAGAGTAGTAGTTCCTTCTGGACAGAAACTGCTTGTAGTAAGCTGGGTTCATTCCATGGTAGTGATATTGTATTTCTTTACATCTTATTCTTTACATCTTATTTAAGCACATCAATTCAGAATGAATCCATTTGAAATACTCTGGCTGGCAACACTGTCATTGAGAGTGTAGCCTATAGATTTAATGATAAAGTAGAAGGGGGAAGGCAGCCATACTCACATCCCACCTCTACTTCAAAGCCTTATATGATCCTCGTTATGTAGGAATGACGTTTTCTCATATGGATCCTTCATGAATACCTCCTTTAGTCTTGTCTTTGTATCCTGTATTGTTCTCACTGGTATAAAGGACTGGCGCCCATGGCATTTCCTTAAGTAGACTTTAAGCTTTTCCAGGGATGCTGCCGTCCTTAAGTTGACTGGTTTTTCACATATCCTGGATATATAAGTTAAAGGTGACTTTTAAAAGATAAATTCAAGCCTGGTGGTGGTGGCGCACACCTTTAATCCCAGCACTCGGGAGGCAGAGACAGGCGGATGTCTGTGATTTCGAGGCCGGGCTAGACCGACAGCCTCCAAAACAATACAGAAAAACCATGTCTGGTAAAACCAAAAATAAATAAATAAATAAATTCAGCTGGTGAGTTGGCTCAGCAGGTTCAAGCACTTGCTGCCAAACTTGATGAGTCCCATCCCCAAGACTCACATGGTAGAAGAGAACCCATTTACACAAGTTGTCACCAGACTAGTATACGTTCAATATGGCCATGCATGCCCACATACATACATAAATACATACATATAGGAAGATTAATTTGTGATGTTTTTCTTGTGAGTTTAAAGACTATATTGCCAGAATATTTATTTAAATCCTTAAATATATAAAAGAATCAGGAAGATAACAACCATTTCAATAACTAATTCAAAGAAAAATATACATAGGTAAAGAATACTGAAACGGGTGTACAAACAATTACAAAATCAGTTCGCAATCACAGGGCATTAATCAGTCACACATAATTCATCTTCATCGTTGTGGTCAAGAATTTCAACAACTTAAGAGTTATAAAATAGCCTAGAGTTTCCAAAAGAATGCGCTGGGGTTTCTGAAAGTACTAGATAGGATACCAGTAGTGCTTCTTTACCTCATTCAGAGCCCCCAGAATTTTCCCTGACCTATACAAACCATGTGCACACCAGCTGTTAATTCAAAATAGAATAGAATAAAAAGATAAGTAAGTGCACTACTCTTTGCTGCCCTTTGGGGATGTCTGTGGAAGGGGATTTAAAGGCAACAGTAAGGGGCTTTTCTGAGGAGAGTAGCAGACCGAAAGGGAAGGTCGCTTTAATTTTACACAGGGTGAGACAAGAATGTTCATTGTGTCTCTGAGGCAAGAGTCGGAGAGAGTGATAGAAAAGGCAGTGTGGGTGTCTGGAAGGAATCTCAGTGAAAGTAGTGGCCCCACTAAGGGTCATCATCTGGATTTGGGAAGAAGGGAGGGTCTTTTCCTGTGGGTAGGTAAGATTTTTCTTTGACAGTAATTTTTATTAGAGGTACTCAGCTCAATATACATAGTCCACTCCTTGTTTGAGATGACTGGTCACTCACAAATGTAATGCAATGTGAGCAACTCTGCATTGTTACACTCTAGATGAAAAACCACTACATGCTGAGTTTGTTTTAAAACTTAATATAAAGAATTTTCATCAGAGGTACACAATTACAGATACTTGGTTTTGCTAATTTTAAGACATCATAAAGTTTATGGTAACTACATCTAAGAATACACTTTGACTTGTACTTTATTTCAATACTACTTTCAAATATTTATTTAGTTTTATGTATTGGCATTCGTATAAAAGAGCACATCATGGTCCAAATGCAAGCCAGAACAAACAAATTCTAGGCTTTAAAACACTGTACTGTTTTGTGCAGTTAAAAACAAGGCAGAATCAAGAACAACTTCCTCAGTCTTAGAATAATTGAGAAAGAAACCTCAAAAGACTCACGATGAAGATAATGTGCATTTGAAAGTAAACATTTTATTCTTTACAAATTTTACTTTTTTATGGTTAATGTCAGTAAACATGGTTCTTCAATCTTTAATTTTGTATGTAAAATAAAATATTCTTAGCATTTCTAAGTTAACTTGTTTTTCAAATAAAGTCATCACTACCATATTAAATTACATGGAGTTACTGAGTCATGGACTTAAAATTAGTGGCACAAATCACATATATGCAGGGTAATGTACCAAATGCAGTGTTAGGTAAGTGCACTATCAGCTGTATATAAGAGGTAGAACCTTAATCATTGTGTTACAGAAAGATGAGGAAGACTGTAGGTGGACCCTGCTTAGTCAGTGATGGTGCCAGTAAGTGTGTCTCATGAACCTAACAGCAAGTGGGGAAGATGCCCAGTCTTTAGGCAGTGATCTTATTGGCCCTTGTTTTACACATACTATAGGAATTCCAGGAAAACTGAAGGGGTTTGGCCAGTTGCTTATTATAAATGCTGTCTATATCATTTTTTAAAAAAATCTCTGAATAGAGAAATATAAATTTCTAGTCTCGCAGCCTAAGAAAGAAACAAGCAATGTCTCTACCATTCTGAGTGTAAGTTGTGAAGTTGGTAGCTTCACTTTTGTGAGAGTTCAGGGTAGTATAGGCTCTTTATGATTCGGGGAGCACTTGCCCAGTGCATAGATGCATTCAGTGCCCACACTGACCGCTAATTCTAGTGCATTGTACATTTAACATAATACTTTAAATAGATATACCTTAAATTCTGGTTAAATTACTAATCTTGAATAAGGCTTATTACAAACTGATAGACTGGAAAGGCAGAGTTTCTGTGTGTTTGTTTATATAGTAGGTGTTTAAATTTGGGACAATTCCAGTCCTTCAGTGTCAATAAGTGATCAGAAGTAATGTTGTAAAAGTTACAATAACTGTGACTGCTCAGTTCTAAACCTTACAGTAGAGTATACATTTCCTGAATCTACCTGGGCATTTACAAGATAACTCAAAACAGTAACAGAGAAGAAAAACCATATCAAATAAACAGTTTCTCCCAGTGAACTGGAAATTACCCTGATTTAGACTGGGGATGGCAGAATGAACCCTCTGATTCCACATGCATGGGTCTATTGAGGTGAATTGTTTGTTTCAGGTAATTTCATGTATATCTCAGGGTTTGGGGCTTGTTTGTTTTGTTTATATCTCTGATAATTTTGAGAATTTAGGAACTGCTTATTTACAATAGAGGCAGGACCATTCAGCAGTATTTCCCTTACTCCTATTATCAAAACAATAGCCATGTAAAAACTAGCAGTGCCATTGGCAGATACTGCAAAAATACATGTACTTATTTCAACTTCATTTTGACCTTAAAACCCTGCGTTTTAGTTGGGGGCTAGACAGAATGCTGCCCATTCATAAACACCGTCCACTTTTCACATAAGAAAACCTTTAAAACATCACTTCAAAGAGAAAAACATCTGATTTCTATGATATAAACATATTTGCAGTTATCAACTGTCAGCTTTTAGAAATACAAACTAAGCGTGTAGAACTAATATTTTTGTTAATGTTTCATATTGTTACATATTTGGTTATAAAAATTCTAGCTGGGCAGTGGTGGCATACACCTTTAATCCTAGCACTTGGGAGCCAGATTCAGGCAGGTCTCTGTGAGTCCTGGGCCAGCTTGGTCTACAAAGTGAGTTCCAGGACAGTCAAGCTATACAAAGAAACCATATCTTGAAAGCAAACTAACAAAAATCTCAAAAATGTTATTTCAGTAATATACTTCTGTTTCTTTTTTTTTTTTGTAAAACACCAAATCTATATTTACATCCACATATAATAACATAACTTTAAGCTGAAATATATCATAAATAAAGCATGTCTACAGTCTGACAACTTAAGTATCAACAATTAAAATAAATCAAACTGGAATGAAATAAATACATTAACAAAAATCCAACGAATTGTACCTCTATCACATGTACTGTTGCCTCAAAGGGAAGACACACAAAGCCAGTAGTATCCCAAGAGTTAATACTGATGACAAGAACACACTGTGAAGTACAAAGGGCTGTTTAAAAGCAAAAAAACAAAAAAAACAAAAAAAAAAACTGGAATTTTTATGCATTCAGAAAATGTAACTAGAGAAATCCGAAAGCCCCCAAAATTTCAGCATTACACCATTGACTTGTTTTCTAATAGATTTGGTGATTTTTTTTAATACAGGTGTCATTTTGCCCCCTATTGTATATAACCTCCCCCTCAAAATTTACATTTATCATCTCTGCGAGCTTCCTGTATACTCGCTGGATTTAGGCAAAGATTGAGTCAATCATCTTGCAAATGTGTTAATTTTCAAAAATATGCTATAAAAGTGTAGAGGCTAAGAAAACAGTCTAGATTATGTACATATGGCTCCGCTTGTGGACGGGAACAGGCTCTAGTGTACACGGTTCCTGATACAAACGCACTGTCTGCAAAAGCAGACACATCTCAACCCAGCTCTCCCTTCAACACAGGAGGTACAGTCTCCCTAGGGACCTCACACAGGTCTCCCGAGGACCCCATGTCACACAATCAAAGTAGGGAGCAGTCGGGTTCTTTGAGCTCTTCACCCTTTTGTCCTACCAAGAGGGGTAGGGCAAGAAAAACGAGCAGTGCAAACTTTTGAAACAGTTTCTTAATAAAAGATTTTGGGTTCGCTAAACCCATGAACTGTTGAATAAACTCAAGGCATCAAAGGAACTCAAGTTTAAAATGCTGAGTGAGCCAGCTGGTGGCTGTCACCCTCAATCCCAAGCTGCCTGTGCGCTGAGGAAATCACCCTGGCTGTGACAGGCACCGGGAGACAAGGGTACAGCAGCTTTCTCTCCTCCCAGGAGGCTCAGCCAGCAGCTCCTCACCAGACTCAAGGTGTCTCCACCTCATACCAAGACTCCAGACACAAACTAAAAAAACTTCCTCAAACCTTTCACTCCCTTTAAAATTGCTTCCCAGCATGCGATTCACACAAGGAAATTTGGCGTATTTATCTAGACTTAACTCAGACAACTCTCCAAGAAACTGATCTTACAACAGACATCAACAACTGAGATAGCTCCCATGAAGCCTGGCTGGTCCACTCAACATCTGCCCCTCTAGGACGGTGGCTTCTCTGTAGGCTCACTAGCTAGAAGCACCACAGGCCACCCCGAGGCAGGATGCTGGGGCTCCAGGACAACCTGCAGACACAGGAAGACATCTATCTATCTACCCTCCTCGGCGACTCGCTGACAACAGCTGACTAAAAGGTGCCAGGTTCAGTGCTGCTGACCTCAAGATGCACAGCACACCTTCAGAGTGTCAACACTTCCATCAACAATTTTGTTAAGACAAACAATAGATTGTAGAGGACTCAACATAACACAGAGCAAAGAGAATTTGCTTTAAAACATGTTTTAAATGAAAGAGCATAAAGAAGCAGAAACTGCTCAAAACATTGAGCTCCACGAGGGAAAGAAATACACACAGTATGTACTTAGGCAAGTTTACAACATAGGTATTTACAATGACCTGAGGTGCGAGCATAACGTCGGTCCCCTCCCTCCCCATCCCACCCCAGTGACTTCTTTTCAGCAGCGCTCAAGTATGCAAAAATGTATTTGGTCAACTCTTTAAAAAAATATTTAGGGACAAAGTAGATTGCAGTCCCCATTTGTGTACAGCCCAACTGCTCCCACTAGTTTTTATTGCTATTTGGTACAAAAGTTAACAGAACTTTAGAGGATGTAGTGTTCCTTCTCTGCTCTTGGAGTCTATGTACAATACAGTCACAGCTTCTTCAGTAGCTATCACCACGCGCTCGCACAAGATGAACCAAAGTGTGATTCCGTGGGAAGTGTGTACTTGCATCTGGCGAGACCTTTTCCCCAAACTCAGAAATCAAGTTTTTTTGTCATTTGGTCGATAATGTGTATTTCCCACACAGTTCTCATAGCTTCTCTTCTGCAGCATGCTGTTGGATAGGTGCTGATAGGACACCGGCCTCTTTCCTTCAAGGGCTGGGCTGGCTCCTGCATGTCCCACAGGTCCACAGGTATACAGAGGTCCAGAGGTGCTACAGGGCTTCTGCACAGTCAACACACTGGGCGACTCCACCTCCCCAGGGCTCAGGAAACGGGCTTTGGGGAGCAGCACAGGCGATGGACGCACATACTCTGATGGTAATAGCGAGGTGATACTCCTGGCCACATGGTACTTGGGGAGCTCAAAGCCCCTTCTGCCGTTGGGCCCAGGATGTTCTGTGTCCAGGGCCACCACACTGGATTTGAGTCTTTTTGGATGTGGCTCACTGACCTCTGCTACGGCACTGCCAGCATTCCGATGGCAGTAGTAGTCTCTTCCTTGTGACACCCATGGGCCATCCACCTTCACAGAGTACTCGATGGAGCCGTTGCCATTACTACTGCCGAGGGGAGACTGAGATGGGGCAGCTGGCAGGGCCTTGGGCTTCAGCTCGGGTCTCTTCACCTTCTCTGTAGCAGCAGAGACGCCGCCACCTTTGGGAAACAGCTCTGACTGCTGCTGCCTGGCGGCCCCAGGACTTCCGGCACTAGGCTGTGACCTGTGTGACTTCAGGTTACTTGGGGCTAAAGTGCTGTTGTCTGGCCCTGATGTCTGGGGAGCTTTGTTCGGCCCCGAGGAGCCCTGTCGGACCTTCTCCGGGTGCAGGGACTTGGCCTGTGATGAGAAGGCAGGCTTGACCTTCGACTTGTGCAGGCTGGACAAGGGAGGCACATCTTTGCCCAGCAAGGCAGGAGGACAGCCTGTCCTCCGGTTCCTCATCACAGACTTGCTGCTGCAGTTCTTGTGGGTGTCAGGGTTGTACCTATGCTCCAGTCTCTGGTGCATCAACAGAACTTCTGGATAGTAGGTCTTAAAGGTACAGAAGGGGCAGGAGATGCTGGGAATGAGACACTTATTCAGGGTGATGGCAGGAGAGGCGTGGAGTAGCCCAAGGGATAGATTCAAAGGACTGTCCTGGCAGTCAGCTTCCCACTCCATCTTCTCCCTATGGCCGGCTTCCCGTGCCAGGGGTCCGACCCCCTCTAGCTTGCAAGCAGGGCTGCTGGCCTGAGGGTCACCTGCTGCTCTCTTCTTTGTCGTGTCCAGATAGGCAGGGGCAGGGCTCTTTCGCACTTTCTCGCCATCACTGGCTGCATGTTTATGGAAATCCTGAGTATCCTTGTGTGCTGGTGAGAGGACAGTGCTGCTCAGAACACTCTGGAAGACAGAAGGCATCTCCTTCAGCTGCTTGGCAGGTGGGCTGCCCTTACCATCTTTGGCACCATCAAGAAAGCGCTTTAAATTTTTGGTCTGCACGCTGTTGGCAGTTAGCAGTACTTCCTGGGGCTCCTGGCTCCGGCCTTCGCTTTTGGCCTCCGTGGCAGCATCCACCAGCTGCTTGTCCTTGTGATGTCTCTCCAGGTGGTACCTCAGAGACGTCTTCTGGGCTGCGGCATACTCACAGAATTCACATTTGTATGGTTTTTCACCTGTATGCGTTCTGAGATGAATATTGAGGTAATAGTTTGAACGGAAAAACTTGCCACAGTAACTACACTCTCTCGACGACGTGAGGGGCTTTGCTTTTCCTCCATCATCATTTTTATCCAAATGGAGCCCTTCAGTGACGCCATCCTCAGACCCGTCTTCAGAGCCCCCTTCTCGGTCCACGGCCCCACCTTCTTCCAGAGGGGCAGCAAGGTCTGGGGAGCAAGTCCCAGGCTGTCGTCCGTCCACAGACATGGTAGGAGATGGGGCATCGGCCCTCCTGTCCTTCCTGTGCACCCTGGAGTGCAGAACAAGCTGGTGGTAGGTCCTGAAGGCTTTACTGCACTCAGAGCAGTGTGTGGGCTTCTCCTTGCTGCTGGGCACCTTGGGATCACCATCCCCAGAAGGCACTTCACTGTTGGCATGTCTAGGCTTCTCTTTGTCTTGGGAGAGACCTGGACAACTGCTTCTATTTGTTTTGGACTTTCCAGAACCTTCCGACTTGCTCCCAATCCAAATTTCTCCAAGTTCCTCTTTCTCTGAACACGAATCGTCATTGTCCGTGCTCCCTTCCTGGCCTGACTCCTTCACCTCTTCTTGGGCAATGGCCACTTTCCCTTTGGTGGCCAGCTGCCATGCCTGGTAGGTGGTGAATGGGTCAAGCTGAGGTATACAGGTGGTGGGCTTCACTGGAGTCTCCGGGTGGGATCTGGGTCTCAAGTTCAAAAACTGCAGCAGCTCTTCCCTTGGGGGCGTGGGTCCCTCCTGCTGGACATCAGGGGCTGTGCTAGGGGCACTGGAGGCAGTTTCTTTGGCATGAACCTTACTGTGCTCAATGAGGCTCTGCTTATTTGGGAAGAGGAAGCCGCAAACCATGCAGATCTTGTAGGGAGAGGAGATGCTCCCAGCTACATGTGCCTGGACTACTTCATTGATAGTCATAGGACTCTCAAGGATCTGCTGCAACTTGCTCCTGGTGCCAGACTTGCCATTGTGTGTCCGCATGTGGTTCTTCAGGAACCATGGCTCCTTGAACCGTCTCCCGCACATGCTGCACCCGTATGTGAAGGAGTCCTTGTGTTTCTTCATGTGGCTCTCAACGTCAAAAGCCCCTGGGAACGTCTGCCCACACACATCGCAGCTCAGCTCCTCGTTCTCTTTGCAGTTCTTCTCCTTGGACGCTTCTGCTGGCACCTGGCCTTTATCAAGAGGACTCAGATACTCAGCCTCCACCCGCAGGACGGCCGGCTCGCAGAGGGTGGGTCGGTGCTGCAGGAGCACGTGCTGACTGAGGTCCTCTGCATGAGAGAAGGCCTGGCTGCAGAACATGCAGTCCAGGGGCATGTGCCCTTCAGCTGGGGTCATGCTCCTCTCCGGAGCAGCTCGGAAGGGGACTGAGGCTGGCCCTTTGATGGACACAGCATCATCCACCTCCATCTGGGTACCCAGAGAGCTACCAATGACTTCCGGCCCATCCATGTACATGAGGAGGGATTGAGTTGGCATGTTGCCTGCCCCTTCAGGTCTACTGGAGAATCTCTGGGAGTTAGAATAAGGCCACTTGTGAGACGTCACACAAACCTTGAGGAACCTGGGCTTGTAACTAAAGTTCAGAGGGGAGTGTACTCCAGACTCTGGGGAAAGCTCAGTGATGGAGATGATGGGTCTTTGCACAAACACAGTATCCCAGCTGCCCAGTGCTGTGATTCAGATGTGAGTCAGCACCAGGGCACTAGTTCCGTCTGTCTTCATTGGCTGAGTGGCTCATTTGAGCAAGACGCGGATCCCGGCAATGTGAAGACAAGGGACTTCCAAAGTCTGCGGCCGTCCGGCTGCACCGCCCGGCCGCGGGCTGAACCAGCGGCAAGGGCAGCGCGGCCTTTGTGCGTCCGCCGCGGGGCCCGACGGCGCGGGGCCCCGGACGGGGCCGCTCCATGCCCGCTCCATGCCCGCCTCCCTATACTTCTGTTTCTTAGAAGCAATATAGATATAACAGAGAAAAGCTGATCTAATCAGTTTATAATTACATAATTCCCAACTGGTTTATAGCCTTCTATTTTAGAACTTCAATTAATTTATAACTGCCTTATTTCTAGAGACACTGCTGGGTAAAAGCAAGCTGATTTTGTGTTATGAACAGTGCTCACTTAATTCATGTATGATATTTGGGAAGAGTTGTCAAATTTAGAGAAATTACTATAGCTTTATTCAGTTAAATTTAAATTTTATATGATATTCCTGTTAGACACTAAAGTACAACTGGGTCACTAAAATTGATGTCTGGATGTAAAGTGAAAGTTTGCTTTCCAATGTTACATTTAAAAAATTCCCAGAATTGTTTTGTGAAAGATTGTTCATGATATCAACTATATTGGTACATTAGAGTTTTCTCTTTTTCACATTAAGACTTTGATAGAGTCTGTAGTTAATTTGTTGGTCAAGGTGGCAATGTCAGCTATCCAAGTTTATGTGCTGAAAGTCTGTTTAAAGATAAGAAAGCATAGGACTTAAAACTCCTAAATAGATTTTCATTTGAACGCTTCGTGAAAAAAAGCATTTAAATAACGTGAAGCATTCTGTAAAAGCCAGTCGTGGGGGTGGGGCAGGCGAAAGGAAGAGTTTGGGAAGAAAAGCAGAGTGTCCTGGGAGAGCTGGCGGGCTTTTGTGTTGTATCACACACCACCTCTTATCCAAACATCATACAGGGTTTTCTTTTTCTTAGAAAAGAAAATAGAACAACTCAAAAAATGAGTTCATGGTCTTGAACAAATGAGATCTGAGCAAACGCAAAGCAGTTACACATTCATGAATGTGTATAAGTTAATGGTGTCAGTAACATCAGCTTGGTATAGGACATGGTCGAGGTCAGGATTCAAGGGACTGGCTGTCCCTGACAGGTTCCAGAGTGATGGCCTGCTCTTTTCACAACTGTAGATTTCAGGCTCTTCTCTGTGAAAACCTACTAAATAGTTTGTAAATTTCTTTCAGGAATTTATATGCAAACTGGGGGATAACTGACACTGAGCTAGACTTAAAAGATTTGAATTAATGAACCTATAAGTGAAAGAAAGTGGCCAGCAGGAAAACCAGGGACTTGTTTAGAATGGGCACATGTCCTGACAATTCATGAGTCAGTAAGGCACAAGTAAGGAGATAGATGTCTCCAGTGACAGTTTTCTTTGCATTTCCTTTATGTGTAGTGAAGTCTTGGGAAATACTTTTGAAGTAGTAACCACCTGTGTTCAGGATTGATATGACCAAGTGGTAATAGCTGCATGCGTGTAATTGCCGAGATTCAGAGATTAAAATGACCAACTCTGCCATTTCAAGAACTCAGCCTCTTTGCCTTGTGTATGTTGAATTTCTGATTGCAGCTTAATCTATACTTGAAAAACAACATGGGGAGACTTTACAAGGAACATGGTTTGTATGGCTTGACCCCAACTCTAGAAACCTTAACCCCAAGAGATGATGTTATTATATTACCATATTCTAAATATGACATACTGGAAAACATCTGTAAATTGAGTTTTCTTCCCTCTTCATTTTGCATCTTTCAGACTGTGCATGAGAGCTCTCGTCTGTTTTGTTCCAGGTATCTATTTGTCGGATTTGACGTACATTGATTCGGCATATCCATCCACCGGCAGCATTCTAGAAAATGAGCAAAGATCAAATTTGATGAATAACATTCTTCGAATAATTTCTGATTTACAGCAGTCCTGTGAATATGGTGAGTTAAAAGAATGTCCTTTAGAGTTAATTTCAGTTTTGGTGCCATGTGGCCTTAACTGCCTTCAGTTATATTTCCTTCCTTAGCCTCTAGTTACTATGTACTTTACTTAATCATTTCTCATCTTTTGTTTAGATATTCCCATGTTGCCTCATGTTCAGAAATACCTGAATTCCGTTCAGTATATAGAAGAACTACAAAAGTTCGTGGAAGATGATAATTACAAGTAGGTCCATCTTCGAATCTGAATGATACTTTGTCTAGTTCTCCACTTTGAGCCTTCACCCCTTTGTCTGATGTGTTTAAACATACAGAGTCAACCTAGTGCCTAGTCAGTGATCCAGTAATAATGGTAGGGTAATTACATGTTTCTTTTAATCACGTGATACAGTTGAGCCAGTATACAAATGCTTGAGCTTTTTCTTTATTTAAAAGTAGCTTTTACACCAGCAAATGCTAAGCAGGTAAAGGCACTTGAAGGCAAGCCTGGTAAGTGGACCTTGAGTCCAGCGTCCACATGAGGGAAGGATAGAACAACTCACACAAGTCATTCTCACTGCCAAAAGTAAGTACAGTAATTTAAAAATATATGTTGGCATTATTAAACTGTAGCAAATAAGACATTTGATTCAAAAATAAGTATAGTAATTTAAAAATATGTGTTGGCATTATTAAACTGTAGCAAATAAGACATTTGATTCAAAATTGGATTTTTTTCTTTTCCTCGTGTGCTCAGACTCTTTTCCTAAGGAAATTTATATTTCTGTAAGCAGAAAAAGTTTATGCCATTCACAAAATACAGAGTTATTCCTTGCTGAATGATTATTTTTAGACACATCTTTGAAAGTGCTTCCATGGCTTGAGAGACTTTTAAACTCCCATATCCTAGTTACTATGGTACCACTGTAGCACTGTGTTTACCTGTATCATACTGTCCTTTAGGAAGGACACTTAAGCTGCTAACCCTTTCTGGTTCCCAGTGGCCTCACTCACATCATGCCTCTTGTTTTTCTTTTGGTTTCTTTTTTGTTTTTGTTTTGTTTTTTCTTTTACTTTCTTCATTTACGGTAGTTGTCCCTGTTGAGCTGAAGCAGGTCTTCTGTCTCAGACCACTGAGGACCTGGGCCTGTAAGGTGTACACCACCTCACATGGACATTGCTTAGCTTTATCATGCCAATTATTGTCAAATGTTAAAATTGAATTTTGTGTCTTCAGCCCTCCCCCAACACCCCAATTCAAAGGCCTGTTTGAGCCGGCAAGATGGCTCAACTAGTAATTGACTCTGTTTGATGAAACTTTTCCCCAGGCAGACTCAACACATTAAACATACAGGTGTTCTCACCCCAGAAAGGGAACCCTCTACACACTAAAGTACAGATACCACCAAAGGCCAACTTGGTAAACCAATGAGTTTTATTGGGGTTACTTACTCAAACACGGCTACATCACCAAAGCCCTACCAAGCATGGAGGACAACTCACAAAAGCTGGAAACTAGAGCACACTGCACAGCCTGCAGGCTGTGAGTATCCTATAGACCTGGTCTAACCCTCTTCTAGGCAGCTCTGCTGGTTTCTGCTTCTTCCTGGGTGCTAACTCCTTGCAGTTAGCTTGCTTACATCTGGAGAAGGAGGGCCTAGAGAATCTGGTCAGTTTCAGGGACTTCCTGAAGCTATTTTGGGTTGTTTACCTTCCTGTCTCATGAGCTTCCAAGAAGGATGGAATGTTTAAATGGAAACCATCCTCTGACTTTCACACTTGTATCATGGCTCCTATGCATGTGAGGGAGGGAGGGAAGGAAAAAAATTTTAAAGGCATGTTTTTAAAACATACCAAAATAGAAAAAAAATCTGATTTTTCCCAGTATTAATGAAATAATTTTTTATTCCCTTTGATTAATGATGATCAGCTTTGTATATATAGGTTTCAACAGTCTTAATTCTGTGGAATCGAAATAATCCCATTGAGAAACTACGAATTCTGGAAAGCTATAAACTATCTTCTTCTGATATTAAATATATTAAGCTCTAAAAAATTGCCCCTTTTTTTTTTTTTTGTTCTTGTTGTTTTCTTTTGTTTTTCGAGACAGGTTTTTTTCTGTATTGTTTTGAAGGCTGTCCTGGAACTCTGTAGACCAGGGTGGCCTCGAACTCACAGAGATCCGCCTGCCTCTGCCTCCCGAGTACTGGAATTAAAGGTGTGCACCACCAATGCCCAGCTCTAAAAATTGCTTTTATACACCTAAAATTGTGTTGTTTGAAAATACTTTTATTACAGTTTTCTTCCCCATTTAAATTCTCAATTTTTACATAAAATATTTATATGTAGTGACTCACTTGAACCTAACATGAAGCCAGTGTTAGCTTTTAAGGCTGCAGTTTCACAGACCTCATGTGCTGTGTTGTAACTGTCTTGAGTTTGATGGCCTGTGTTTTACTGCTTATCTCTGTTTGTGCCTCTGGTTGCTGCCTTGAATGTAAATAAAGAATTTATGCTTGATAAACAACACATTTTTCCTAAGGAAATATGAACAGTTACCTTGATGTCCTAAAATCTCAAGATACAAGTATCTATTAAAATCTCTCTTCTAGTCAAAGAAACTTAGTGACTTAAAAAGAGCTACAGTATCACATAGAAGAATAGTCTGAGTAAAACCTATGCAATTACAGAAAATAGTAGACTTTACTGACTACAGCAAAATTGTGATGGAGTTTTTATTAAAAGTAATTGTGTTTTGTTTTGTTTGTTTGTTTTGTTGAGACAGGGTTCCTCTATGTAGCTCTGGCTGTCCTAGACCACTCACTTGGAATAGCAGTTTATCCCTGCAATGCTTTTTGCACTGCTGCTAGATGCCATAGATAGCATTGGAATGTAGTCAGCCAGATCCCATTCCCTTCCACCCCGAGAGGGTGTATTACTAACAAAGGCCGACAGTGTGTCCCAGCAGAGTGTGCAGGGAGTGCAGTCGACTGAGCCATTTGTCTGCCCTGTCGAGTATCTAGAATGTGATTGTTTTTTATTTTCTTAGGTTATAAAGGAAGTAGTTAAATACCTTCATTGAATTTGCTTTCAGTATGCATGCTTCTTTATTTTGTGATTCCACTGAAAATTCTAGTCAGTTAGGACATTGGCCTAGTGTTTATAAAGCCCCTGATTAAGCCTCCGGAGCCACAAAACAAAAGACAACTTAATGGATTTCCAAATTACACCAGAACATCTTCTACAGTTAACTGCTTCAGTATTGTTTCCCAAAATTCCTTCCACTAATAAAAATCAAATAGCTTTCTATAGAACTCAAAACTGGGTATATAAATAGATCAAGTAACAAAAAACCCAAAGCAGTAACCCCCAATCCCCAGAGGCCCCAGATGACCAGGATGGCAGTGTGTGCCACTCAGCACAAAATCCTAAGCTTATTGTGGGACATTGTGAGACTGGTTAGTTTGTTTTTGAGTTTGTTTTTATTTTAACTTGATTGTACAGTTTGTAACTGTGAGATTTGTCAATGGTACATCACTGCATGAAAAAGTTGGGCATACCTGTAAGATGTGATTGGAAAGTCATTTTGCAAGCAATCTTTGTATTTGTATGGACCTTTATTTTCATTTGATTTATTGGGTAGTTTTACAAAAAGTGTTTTTAAAATGTTCACTATTAAAGTCAAACCAGTAGTTAATCTTGTAGAGATTCTAGGAATAAAATACATATTACGTAATACATGAGTACATTCCTGGATTTGTCATTCAGTTAAGTGTGTGTCATTACAAATCTAAACCTTTTTTTTTTTTTTTTGCTTCTTGGTTGGTTTGTATGAAGCAGGATTTAAACTCTAGCCCAGGCTAACTATCATATACAACATAATTAAAATCATCTTTTAGTAATTTAGTAAATGCCTTTACCTGTAGTGAATTGTTTGGCACAAAGCTTTGTGTGGTAATTAAAGAAATTTGTGTGTGTGTGTGTGTTTGTTTTTAAATACAACATTTTTATTTTTTTTCCTTTTCAGTATTTCTTAGAAGTAACCATAAGATTGGCTTTAATTTAATTTAATTTAGTTTAATACCTTAATTGAAAATTACATTGAAAGAAAAGGTTTTTTAAGATTTATATGTTTTTATTTATATGTCTGGGTATTTTGTCTGTGCACACATGCTTGCCTGGTACCTGTGTGGGCCAGAAGAGGGTATCTATCACCTGGAACTATAATTATGGATTGTTCTGAGTTACCCTGTGGTGCTGAGAATTGAACTTGAGTCCTCTGGGAGAGTATCTGGTGCTTTCAACCACTGAGCCATTTCTCCAGCGAAAAGAAACATGTGACTGATACTTTGACAGTGTTGATTGTTTCTTATGTTTCCCCCTTTTAAAATTTAGGCTCTCATTAAAGATAGAACCTGGGACAAGCACACCACGTTCAGCTGCCTCCAGAGAAGATCTAGTCGGTTAGTCCTTAGCTTTTGGTTGGTGCATGGTTGCTTGGGGAGGGTGTTTTTCCAAGGTGGAGTTTATTATCAAACAGTTGACCTGATCTCATAAAAAAATAATTAAACTTCCAAGTAAGTGAATACTTAACATATCTTATACTGCCTACAAAAATTATTTGTACTAAAGTATATCAGTTCTGTCTGGATTTTCTGTTTGATTTTCTTTTTAATTAAAAAGTTTTTTATTGTTTGTCAGTAATTATATAAATAAATGTTTTCTAATCATGGAAAATGCATATTATATAAGCAGGAGATTTATTAATTATTTTAATTATTAAGAATGCAGTTTATTGGGCAATGAAGACATGTCTATGGTCAAAGCAAAAATTCTAATTTGAATAATTATAGAATTCAATTTTAGTGACTTAGGCTTTCTTGATATTTACTTCAATGCTGGGCCACATGCCAAAAATATAAACATCATCCTTGCTTCTTTACCCATGGATTTACAAGTGATTTATAATGTGCATAAATCCATCAAAAACCCTACAATTTAAGAAATTAGTCATTAAAAAGTATTGATAATTACCTTGTAAAAATTACCAACACAAACCTTCAAACTAAGCTTCCTAGTACATATCTAAAAATCTTTGAAGAGCTAGTTTGTCAAGTGGAGGAAATAAGCTGCACGACAGTGTCCAGAGGAAGGGCGATTCCAAGCAGAAGATAATTCTGTCTGTGTCTCTTAAATGTGCTTTTTGCTCCTGTTTGTTTCTTAACACAGGGTCCTACTATGTAGCTTGTTCTGGCCTCTAACTCACCATCCTCATGTCTCAACCTCCCCAGTGTGGGATAGTAGATACATACCACCATGCAGAGGTTTTGTTTTGTTTTACTTTAACATGGTCTTATTCACTGTGTAGCCTGGAATTCACAGAAATCCACCTGCCTCTGTCTTGAGTGCTGGGATGAAGGAGGTAGGGTCAGCAGCTTTTTATTAAAGAGGTATTTTGAAAGATATACAACGTGGGCTGTTTTTTATTCCAATAAATCAGATCATGTCAGGCAATGAGATAATAATTTCTAGCTTGAGCACTTGACCTCACCTACACATTTAAGAGAAATTCAAAGCTATGTATAAAAAAGCAGGGCATCAGATTGAAGCCACCGAGTCAGAAGACCTAGGTACTTACGCTTAGTCCAGCTTTTGTTTGTGAATTAAGAGCCCAAGCCGATCTCTTTTTCTGCTATATAAACTAGGGAAATATTTATACTGCCTTGCTTTAACATAAATAAAAGCAATAAAAATTAATAGATTTTTGTATGGTTGGAGGTTTGTTTTAGAATTTGGAAAAGACATATTCCTTCTTCAAGTCAATTAAATAGAACTAATAATAGACACTTTTATATCAGAGAGTTTTGTTTTGTTTCTATTTTTTAAGGATCCTTTGAAACCTCGTGACAGTTGCGCTCTGTGCTCTGCTCTTAGGTCCTGAAGTGGGAGCCTCGCCTCAGAGCGGGAGGAAGGGCAGTGCTGCAGAGGGGGCGTTACTGCCACAGACACCCCCGTCCCCTCGGAACCTGATTCCACACGGACACAGGAAGTGCCATAGCTTGGGTTACAAGTCAGCAGTTTTAACTTTGTCTTCTCTTTTTTTTAAGTTGTTTGAGAGTGGGTTTGCTTTCTGTTTCCTTTGTTAGTAAAACATGTTTCTGTATTGTTTACTTTTGGTTAAGTAGAAATTAAGTGCCTGGTGATTGGTTTTAATACTAACACCAGTTTTCAAGTTCAGTAAAATCTATCTTGTTTGCCTAAAAGAATTTAGTTTTCTTTTACCTGGATTTGGAAATGAGCATTCCCAGAAATGCTCATATTTGAGGGGAATAAATCAGGAATTCAGACAGCCATGGTAGATAAATCTGTAGAGCAGATTTAAAATTGTAACCTTGTTTTCAATAACTTGTTATTTGTCATAAGAAATACAAATAATGGATTACATTATAAAAAGCTACTCTTTATTCCTAAATATAAAAGGGGAGATCCAGTTCTCATTTGGTGTCATTAGTTTTGCACTGTTGATTCCTGATAGATGAATGCGTCCTCGGTGAGCATGTTCTGTCCCAAAACAAACTCTGAACACAGTTTTGGTTATCTTTTATATCCTGGACTAGAAACGTAGGAAGTTGTAAAGAGTATTTCTCTTTGTTTTTAGTTTCATTCATAAGATGAACACAGCAGAATTTAAGAGTGCGACATTCCCAAATGCAGGGCCACGGCACCTGCTGGACGATAGCGTCATGGAGCCACATGCACCATCACGAGGCCAAGCTGAGAGCTCCACACTTTCCAGCGGAATATCCATAGGTAAAAGAGACTCACTGGTGCTTCCCGTTGCTGTGAAAAAAGAATTTGAACAAGCAAACAAAAACAAGAGAACTTAGCTGCAAAAACATTCATCAACTCTAGGACAGTGGTTCTCAACCTTCCTAATGCTGTGACCCTTTAATATAGTTCCTCATGTGTAGAGAACCCCAACCATAAAATTATTTTGTTGCTAGTTCATAGCTATAATTTTGCTGCTGTTATGAGTTGTAACATGTTTCTGCTAATCAGTCTATCTCATATCCTGTGAAAGGATCCTTTGAGAATCCCAGGGTTTGCAATCCTATTCCCTAGAATAAATTCAAAAAATATGGTTCAAAATAAAGGCACAGTTAAATATAGGATGATGGTAATAGTTGTTAAATATTTTTAAAGTACTAATAGTTTTGACTCCAAATAAGAAGGCATTTAAGGGCTTTGAGAAAAGACTGTAGGCTGTTTTAGTTGATTAACTACATGCACTTCGAATGAGGACGTGAGGGAAAGGAAGAAATAAAGGGGTCAAGTGTGATTCCAAAGTCATGTGAATTAAGCAACTCTTTAGCTGATGGTGATCTTACCATACACAGGACTGGGAGAGAATTGTGTCAGACTGGTGACTTACTTACTGAAGGGTGGCTGATTTTGGCAAGTCAAGACTTCTGTTTTGAACTTGTTTGGTCATAATAGAGCTGTCAGGTCATTCTGGAGCTCACATTGAGTAGTCTCAGGTCTGAAGCTATATGAAAATTACTGTATTTGTAGTATTTCAAACTATAAGACTTGTTTAGGTCACCCCAGTATAGTATAAACAAGAACATTCTCATATATAGATGTTTGTAGAAGTTGTTTTTTTTTCTTTTTTTATTAATTTATTTTTTACATTCTTATCCCAGTTCCCCCTCCCTCCTTTCCTCCCAAGCCCTCCATTCCTCCCCTCCTCCTGTCTGCTCCACAGAGAGGGTAAGGCCTCCCATAGTAAGTCTACTAAGTCTGTCCCATCATGTAGTTGAGGCAGGACCAAGGCACCTCTCCACCCCCACACCCGAGTGTCTAAGCTGGGCAAGGCATCTCTCCATATAGAATGGGTTCCCCTAAGTCAGTTTGTGCATTAGTGTTAGGTCTTAGACTCGCTGTCAGTGGCCTCATATATTGTCCCAGTCACACCATTGTCACCTATATTAAGGGAGTCTAGTTTGATCTTATGCAGATTCCCCATTTGTCAGACCTGAGTCAGTGATCTAGCTCAGTCTACAGAGAGAGTTTCAGGACAACCAGAACTACACAGAGAAATCCTGCCTCAAAAAACCAAAAAGAAAATATATATGTAAAATTTAGTGTATGTATGTGTGTCAGTTTGTGAATATATGCACATGAGTGCAAGTGCCTCCAGGAAGCCAGGGGCAGAGGCCTCAGGTACTCCTGGTGCTGGAGTTCCAGGCATTTGTGAGCTGCTTCAGTATGACTTCAGGAAGCACCGGCAAAGACCCTAACTGTGGAGCCATTTTTCTAGCCCCCATTTTTACTCTCTAAACTGTTTTATTATCTGATCATTATGTCTTTTTATAGTTAGAAAGTATATCCATAGTATGATCAGTTGTTGTGGTTTTAACAGAGAAAAGGGTCTTCTGATTGTTACATTGCTCAAGGGCTTAACTGTATTATTGCTATAATCTCAGTGTCAAAGTCAGTAGAGATCCATTATCTGAGCATACTGGCTCCCTTAGCCTGAGGATTCCAAACCCTAAACATAGAATTGCTTCTGAGCCCTCCAGTGCCACCCAGCACTTGTTTACTCTGGTGCTAATTAAAGGGCAGAAGACAGATTATTACCTGAAATACCTCTTTGCTAATGTTCTAAGTAGTCTATATGCAGCACCAACCTTGATCTTAAAAAACCAAAAAGACATGAGCCCATTTTCGGTTAAAGTTTGTTATGCCTATGGAATCTAGTATGTTACTTAAAAAAGATTCTGTATACATATTTGGCTTTTCCCTTGGTATGTATTAAAATCATTCTCTAGTTTAGCTATAGCTTTTACTTTTTTGTAAGTCTTGTCAGAGACATGGATGAAGCATTAATGAAGTTCCACAGAATCAGGACTCCTGTCTCCGCCTCCCTAGTGCTGTGATTAAAGGTGTGGGATCCCAACTGCTGGGATTACCTTTGTGCGATCTGTTTCTCTTTTAGACAGATTCAATCTCGTATAGCCCAGGGTGCCCTTGAACTAACAGATCTGCCTGCCTGTGTCTCCCGAGTACTGGGGATTAAAGGTGTGTGCCACCACTGCCTGGACCTCTGTGGCTAACTAGTGTGTCTAGCTTTGCACTCTGATCTTCAGGCAAGCTTTATTTGTTAGATCATAAACAAAATATTGTCACAACTTAGTAAGAAAGACATCTTTGCTCTGTACACTTTGATGATAGGAATTTTTGTTTTTGTGGTGTTGAGGGTCTAACTTGGGAAGACAAGCTCTCTACCAGTAAACTACATCTCCAGCCCTGTGGTTGTGTGTTTGTTTTGTCTCCCATCTCCACCTTCTAAGTACTAGGATTATTAGCATGTGCCACCAGAAAATTCATTTTTAAAATAGAAGATCTCAGCTGGAAAAAAACTGATATAGCAATAATAGAACAACTCTTGATTTTAGGGAGTAGTGATGGCTCGGAACTAAGTGAAGAGACCTCCTGGCCAGCTTTTGAAAGGTAAGAGAAATTAGTCACTAAATTTGCTTTGAACTTTGACCTGTCTTAGAATAATATGAATATGAATTTGAAGAGGTTATTGTTATTTATCACTAAGTGACTAATCTTTTTTGGCCAGAAGAAATGACAAATAGATATTTATCTCTGGAATCATACACGAGAATGGCTATTATGATCTTTATTTATGTTTATTTGATGTTTTTACTTCTGCTTTGAATTTTTTAATTGTAACAGATTTTTAATAATAATGAATTCTTAATAAAAATTTTAAGTAACATAGTTAACTTCTATGTTCCAAAATGAGATTATTTCCTTAGGTCTGGGTAAGACATTTATTTAATTCTTGCTTTCTTATGCACAGAATGACAGCTAATTTTAAGTTAAAAGACTGGCATTTGACATGAAAAAGTCAGTGCATGTGGGGTGCTTTTCGATGATCTGCTGTAGGATCATGCTGTCTTCTCCTTCCCTGTTGCTTTAAGCTATAAACTTTGTCATCTGTACAGAGACAGTGCGCCGTATTGATCGCCAAATAGAACTCTCCCTGAGGCTAACAAAATGTTATTTAAATAGATATGTGCCAAACATCCATTCAAACTCTTAAGTTACCACTTCAGTACTAATCTCCTCTGGCTCAAGATATCTGCTTGACAGCAATAACTGCTCCATTTTTACACGTGAACTTGTGAGCTGCAAGTGCAGCGGGGAGGTGGGGAGTTGGTGCTTGGTTGTCAATGCTAGGGGCTGAACTCAGGGCCTTCCCCTGAGCCTCACGTCATTGTTTAGATATTGGTGTTCTATGAAAACTCAAGACCAGTCACTTTTAAACAGGAAGATTTGAAGTTATATTTAAATCATTAATTTCAAACTGCTTATTGGAAACTTCCTCTTTAAAGATGTCTCATTAATATTCTATTAAGATCTCACTTAAATACTCTGTGAGTTTTGATATTTTCTACACTGCATGTTCCCAAGTTTTGTTTTCTCTGTTGGGGAATTTGTAACAATTTGTTTTCATATATTCTTTTCTGAAGTTTTACTTTCATTCTCTTTTTTGAAAATTTATTTTTATTTTGTGTGTATAAGTAACTTTGCCTGCATGTATGCCTGGCACTTACAGATGTCAAAAGAGGGTGTCAGATCCTCTGGAAATGGAATTACAGGTGGGCATGTGCCAACATGTGGGTGCTGGGAATTGAACTCAGGCCCCCTGTAAGAGCAGTCAATGCTCTTCATACTCAGCCATCTCTCCAGCCCAACTTCCATTCTTTTGAGTTTACCTGACATGGAGAAAATACAAAAGTTGCATTTGGCTTGTTTTATGAATCTGTAAACAGTTAAATCTTTCCCTCTGGAAAAGGTGTACCATCAATCATTATTAAGGCATAATTTTTAGATTAACAGTATTGGTCAGAAATTGTCTCTTAGGTTGTTTAAACTATAAACTTATAACCCAGTGTCATGTTACATTAATCTCTTCTCATTCCAACAGGTTACCTATGAAGGCAGTTTGTAACATGTTAACCTTCATACCTCAGAATAGTGTTTTTCTTGTATGGCACAGTTTGTTTTACATACATTTGCAGCTAAAGCAACTGTACTTGTGCCATGTTTAAAGCAGTGGCTCTTCAGACATTTAGAAAACAGCTAAATAAATGCAGCCCAAAAAGATTCAGACTTGAAGTAGTACTGAGCCAGACACACCAAGTGCCCTGTAGCAAGCTCGGGGCCCTGAGCAGGTAGCAAATGGGCATGAGATGTCTGTCTCCTCAATCTCTGTCTTCTCCTCCCATTTCCTACATTAAGTATCATGTATTGCATACTTTTGGCTTTCCTAAACAAAGAAATACCATTGTTTCTGGGTTTATCTCCTCTACCAAGTATGATTTGATTTGGGATGAATACTGGTTCATGCCATTCTTATCATTTATTGGCTTTGACAGTTGATATGAAAAAAACCCACCTATATGTACTCCTCAATTTGTCTCTACTAGTTTTCTTTGAGTTATGATAAGAGGTTTTCCTCATTTCTAAGTTTATAATCCTCATTGCTTTTAGGTGTCTTCATAGGGACATATGATTGTAACATGTAGTCTTCCCGCCAGCCGCGCGGGCCCTGCTGAGCTGTCTGAACCCCCAAATAGCACAGGACACTATATTAATTATGAATCTGTTAGCCGTTTGCTATGATTTCTTATCAGCTAGCTCTGACTTCATTGTTAACCCATAATTGCTAATAGTATTTCCATGTGGTCTTTGCTTACCAGAGAACAGGATCCGGACTTCTTACTCCTCTGGCTTTCTACGACGTGACTCTCTGGGCCCGTCTTTCCCAGAATCCTTCTTGACTCCTAGTCCCACCTATCTTGCTTCCCTATTGGCCAACAGTGCTTTATTCAACAACCCATAAGACAACATATACACAGGACTTCCCCCATCAAATGATAAAATGAATTATTTTATATAAGTCCATATGTCATATTTAAACCTGAATCCAAGAAGAGTAAAGGGGGCTTTGGAGCATTTTTCAGGTTTCTAAATTATTTGGCCATAAATAGTTCTTTAATCTCTTGACAGATGTATGAAAATGAGTGCATGTATAAATTGTATAGTGTAGTGTATACTTTACACCTGTGTTTCCAGAGTCAGTAGAAAAAAAATTAACTATGTTGCATGTTTTAAAAAATAATATCTTGCCCTTTTTAAGGATTAATATAGAAAGCTAGATGACAAATTAGTATACTATTCTAGGTATTGATGATTCTATGAATAAAAATATGTGTAATATATATAATTTATAATGGAATCCAACAGGAACAGATTATACCATTCTCTCGGCCCGGTGACAAGAGTGCCACGAAATGGCTATCGAAGCCACACGAAGGCCAGCAGGTACAATTCCCCTGCATCAGGGGCCATAGCACTCCCTTCTGGTGTTGGTGGCTGGCTCATATGGGTGTTGTCTGACGTTTTTTTCTCTTCTTTCTCCGCTAATTGGTTTTAAAACTAAACAAATTGCCCATGAAAACTTTCTTTCCAAGATTTAATATAGTTTAAATTTGAACTATTCTTTCTAAGTCACAGGACTGATTGTTAAAATTTGCATCTTTATGTTACATTTTTAAAATGCTACAAAGTTGTTAGCCCTTTATACAATTCCTAATGCTTCTAATTATGGCTGGACTGGGTAAAAATCAATTTGTTACTCTTAAGTTGCAATCAAAGCTTTTCTTTTGCCAGTAAGTTTATATTCAATTTGTCTTTTTTAAGTAAGTTTTTCTTTTTACAGATAAACCACAGAGCCTGAATTTAGGCAAGTCTATTTCATTGAATAATTTTTTTAGGTCTCTCCCTAGCTGGGCCTCTCTGCACTATATTAGCTGTACAAGCACCTAAAGATGATACATGCATTGGGAGGGGGCCATTCATATCAGGAAACCAACTCAGAACAATAGAATAGCTCTTGATGTGTCTCCTTTGTGTCCCCTCCTTATAAACAGCTGGAGCATGAAATTTCTAGGTTGTCACTTTGAAGACACCTAAATAATCATAAAGAAACTAAATGTCTGCATTCTTTGCTGTGTTCGGAGTTCTGCATCTCATAACACATCACCAGAGATTGGCTTTGAAATCATTGTTTTAAATATAGACTCTAAAATCAACTGAGAAAAGACATTAAAATGATTACTAAATATGGGTTTTCTTCTTTGTTAGAGATATGTTAACCATAATCAAACCCTGAGTATTGGTACTTTTGAGTGTCATTAAACCTTATTACAGAAAACCAGTTTCTAAAAGCATGTTATTGACAGTTACTTTTCTTTATATACTTTAAAATTAGCAATGGGTTTTCTGGGGTTGTTTTTGTGGGGTTTTTTGTTTGCTTTGTTTTTGTTTTGAGCTTATTTGCATTTTCTGTTTCATATACTTAATTCTAACCAAATCCTTGTCTCTCCTGCCAACAGAGTTCTAATGGGTTACCATAGTGATGTACTGTGGCATGTTAAGAAGAAGGAAAAAAACTTACATTGTTTTAACTAATCTTGGTTCAAGTGAATCCCTGCTTTCTTCTAAATTGAATTTGTTGAAATATGTGATAGAATGTGTGTTTAAACATCTGCTAACTTTAATAACTTCGTCATTAACTTTACGACAGTCTAAAAATCTCAAATCAATAAGTCTTTAAAATCCTCAAGTTTCTTACCAGCTCTCGATAAAGTATCAAAGTTTTAAACTTAAGAATAATGAGATTCCATTTAGCAACACTCTTAATGATTGCTGCAGATACACACTTAGCCGGTTTCTGCTTTGTCTTGTTGTTACAGTTCTGCGGAGTCGGAAGACTTGGCGGTTCACTTGTATCCAGGAGCTGTTACTATTCAAGGTGTCCTCAGGAGAAAAACTTTGTTAAAAGAAGGCAAAAAGCCCACAGTAAGATACATTTATTCTAACCTAGGTCTGAAGATACGCAACCACCCCAAGAAGCATTGGGATTGAAAAAGAAGTAGCTCTGTAGTAGACTTGAAGTCACTTAAAATATACATATACACTGTCCTCATTCTGGTTGGTTTTGGAGAGAGAGAGAGAGAGAGAGAGAGAGAGAGAGAGAGAGAGGAGGGAGGGAGGGAGGGAGAGAGAGGGAGAGGGAGGGAGAGGGAGGGAGAGGGAGGGAGAGGGAGGGAGAGGGAGAGAGAGGAGAGAGAGAGAGAGAGAGAGAGAGAGTGAGTTAACCCTGAACAAGAACGGAGTAATCAAGAGGGTGAGCACACAGAGACAGGAAGTGTACTTGGTTCTCATTGTGGGGTATTCACCAGAGAAGACTGTTTGGACATGGGTTTTTATTAGCTTTATCAGGCGACTACACTGGCTCTTTAGGATCCCAAGCCTCTCTCAGAGTGAACTTTTAAACATACTTCAGTTAACAAGAATAGTTAGCTCGATGCAGAACTACAGAAGCCAAAAAGCAAGGTTAGTACATTTAGATACTTTCCCAGAACCATGGAGTTTGATAGGTTAGGCCTTTGTTTTAGTTTGGGCATGTAGAGGTATCTGTGTGCTAAGTTTTACAGCCTGAATAGTACTTTCATCATGCAGTTGGTTGTGCTGAGGTCTCAGGGCCTAATAAGGTCTGGAGCCTCATCGCAGCTTTTATTATAACTTGGGTAGTTACTGTGTTTTTCTTCATTGACTTGATCAGTCTTATTTAGTCTTAAAATTTTTTGTGCACAGGAAATGAAGAAGGAAGGGAAAGGGAATCATAGCTCTAGGCCATCAAATTCCCCTACCCTGTTTCTTAAAGTATTGCACCTGTTATGTATATTGTAGCTAAATCACATTTTAAACATGCTTAAATCAAATATTCCTGTACTCCAACTTCTAAGGTAATTCTTACCCTCTCCCAAAAAAATTTTTTTCTGGTTTTTTTCAGGCAGGTCTCTATGTAACAACCCTGGCTGTCCTGGAATTCACTTTGTATACCAGACTGGCCTCAAACTCACAGAGATCACCTGCCAAAATTATTTCTTAATGAACCTTGAAAATACATAAGAAGTAACCACAGTAAGCTGGGTATGGTGGTATACACCTTTAATCCCATCATTCAGCAGATAGAGTTTACATAGTAAGCTCCAAGCCAAACTAGGGCTACGCAGTGAGATCTTGTCTCAAAAAGGAAAAAGGAAGAAAAAGAAAGAAAAGAAAAAAGGGGTGGGAAAGTAAGTAAATTGTGATCCGTTTAGGGAAATTGAAAGTGGGGTAAAACCTAAGAAGTAGAATAATTTTGTTCTGTCAGTTTATTTAAACTTTGTAATGTATTTTTCCATGTAAAACAGAATCCCAATACAAAAATGTCCTCCAAATAATAACCATCCCAGAAACAAAAGGCTTGCATGACAGAACTTTTAGTATATCATAAAAAGTTTGTTTTTCCTCACAGCATAATAGTTTTGACTACTAAGAAAAGTTTTTTCTTTTCTCAAATCACAGTATACTTTAATTTAAAATATATATCTACTAGGCAGTAGTGATACACACCTCTAATTCCAGCACTATGGAGGCAGAGGTAGGCAGATCTCTTATGTTTGAGGTCAGCCTGATCTACAGTGCAAGTTCCAGGACAGCCAGGGCTACACAGAGAAACCCTGTCTCAAAAAAAGAAAACAAACAAAGGAAAATCCTTTGGCACATATCTACACCTAGAGGTTTTGAAGATCTAAGGGTTTCTTCCTGTAAAAATGGTTTCCATCTATGTCATCTCATTTTTGCCTTTTACATTACATTAAACCAAAGGCACCCACATTTGGAAAGCTAGTTCTGCTCTGCTCTCAAAGAACCTTAGAGTCACATATGTGTTGAGCATTGTTGTAACTGTTACTGCTAGGTGCTTGAAATCTCTAGCAGTGAGCACTCAAACAAAGAGCCCACCTTGTGGAGAGTGTACTCCACTGAGGAAAAAGGAGAGTAGGTTAGCATGCAGATGGTCTTCCAGAGGTTGGACTGCGTGGGGTAGCACCCTGAGGAACTGCCACCACTATATATCTGTGCAGCACAGCCCTGAGTTCATGATCCCTCTGCCTTGTCAGACAGGGTTATGGGTGCCACTCCTTCCCTTGTTTGTTTTCAAGACAGGTTTTTTTATATAGTCCTGGATGTCCTGGAACTCACTCTGTAGACAGTCTAGCTTCTAACTCAGAGATCCACCTGCCTCCACTTCCTGAGCTGGACTTAGGATGTGCACCACCACGCCTGTGCTAGGTCAGCCCTGTGTTGGCACTGCTAAGGAGTAACCGTGATAAGAACAGAATGGTGAAACGTCAGTGGGCATTGATCTTAACAGCAGCTGCTTAAGCCTGGAAGCCACATGAAGGGAGCTGAATAGAAAATGGGAAAAGCAGAAGTGGAGGCAAGAAGTTATGCTGTGAAAAGAGCAAAGGAGCCGGATGATGTCAAGAGGGCTAAGGAGGACTTTTAGGGAGGGAGAACTCTTCAGGCTCATCATGGAAGGGGGAGGAAATTGAGATGCAGAGGGGAGAGGAGTAACTGCCAAAACAAACTAAGAAAGGAACTAGAAATCCAGAGCATAAATAGTTCAGTTTGTAGCTGGGCGGTGGTGGTTCATGTCTTTAGTCTCAGCCTGGTCTACATAGTGAGTTCCAGGACAGCGGAGGATACAGAGAGAGACCCTGTCTCAAAAAAAAAAAAAAAACAGGAAGGAAGGAAAAAGAGTTATGTTTGTCTTTTGATAGCATCAGGATTGACAAAAGTTTTTTAGCAAGAAAAAAAGGCTGATTTTGTGAGTCTGAAAACAGGCAGTTACAGAATGTGTGCTGGAAATATGAGCTTTTATTTTTTTTATTTTTATTTTTTTTTGGTTTTTACGAGACAGGGTTTCTCTGTATTGTTTTGGAGGCTGTCGGTCCAGCCCAGCCTCGAACTCACAGCGATCCGCCTGTCTCTGCCTCCCGAGTGCTGGGATTAAAGGCGTGCGCCACCACCGCCCGGCGCTTTTATTTTTTTTAAACCAGACTTAATCTATTTTGTAGAGGAATTATGTAATGAAACCATGGGAGAGTATATTATAACTTTGAGGAATGGATATGAAATAGTTATCTATAGAGAAATAGTACAGTGACTTGATTAATTAAAAAGTATTTAGAATATTTAAGAATATTACGAGGTTGGTAAACACAATCTTTACCAGTCGGCGTAACTGCTCCCTCCATGGTAGTCTGCTGCTATAGTATGATGCTACGTAGTCAGATACAACTAGAGGTTCGAATTTTATCAAGAGAAGCAATGGGAACATGATTAAGTGTTTAGAGACCAGATAGAGTGTTTGACTCTGGGATGTAGACCAGATGGGAAGATTAGCGGGAGAAGATATGGTATTGGGACAAGAAGGTAATGCCTCTATAGCCTAATACTGGATGGTGATACGATTTCTGTATGTGTACATATTCATGAGTTTGTGTTTTGCAAATAAATACACAGTTCTGCATGTGTGTGGCCAATACTGGGTGTCTTCTATAGCTCCACCTTATTTTGTGAGCTTTTCCGTGTGCTGGGGGTCTGAACTCAGGTCATCATGCTCACACACAGCAAGCACTTTACTGGCAGACCATCTCTTGAGCATCCAAAAAGTTAAAATTCTTGATAAGATCTCACGTTATTTGAATGACTACTAAGGTGTGTTCACTGAAAGTGATGTCTGAGATGCAGATTTTAGAAATGCTGTCTCCGATAACTGAAGTGAAGATTAGGATATTGTCACTAAGGAGGTCAGGTCAGAAGCCTTTCGATGGTGTATTCATGTGTTTATCTTCTCCAGGTAGCATCTTGGACAAAGTATTGGGCAGCCTTGTGTGGAACACAGCTGTTTTACTATGCTGCCAAATCTCTGAAGGCTACAGAAAGAAAGCATGTAAGTTTTTTTCACAACTTCTTCCTGGTCGTAAAGAAAATACCCCTAACAGAATACAAGATTATATTTATCGTCCAGCAGCTCTCATGCTTACTCCTAGTATGCATGTAATAGTTTGAAATGTGTTTAAGCAACCATTCCAAGGAATGCCTTGGAATCACTTTTGTGTTTTCAAGTTTTTCCATTGCAACTGTGAAAATGGCAAATTGCAAATATCTGTCTTGGCATCAGACCTTTGTTAGCCCTGCACTAGGTCAGATCATGGCTCAAAACCCCTACCTTGTAGCCCCAGTTCCTAATATTAATGTGAAAATGAAAACAATACTTAAAATCCTGTCCCAGATGTGGGCATGGTGGCACACACCTTTAATCCTAGCACTCTGAGGCAGAGGAATTATGATCTCTGTGATTTCAAGGCTACACAGGTGAGCTCCAGGACTACATAGAGAGACCCTGTCCCAGAAAGAACAACAGTACACCAGTTTTCCCAACAGTAGAGAGGCATGTATAGGCACAGTGGTTGCAACAGTCTGCTTTCTTACTTCTGTGTTTCTGTAAAATCTTCTTGATGCTCTTTCCTCTGTATACAGTCTTTTAATTATGAAATGTTTACTTTTTAAATAGTATACCAAGTATTAGATTTTATTATGATATTTCAAACGTAATTTTTGTTTTGTTGACCTTCCTTCTCCCATCTTTTTTCACTGCCCCCACCTGTGCCCTCTTTTTCCCCCAGAAGCTGCTTTTCTCACTTTGGGTCACATGTTCTGTCCCGCTCCCCCAGCCACTCTCTCCTCTTCTCATTCTCTGTCTGGTTTCATGACTGATACCCAGATCCACATCTACACACATATATAAACACTGAAGCTAGGATCTGCACATGAATATGGGATACCTCCTTTAGTATTTTTCAGATCCATCCATTTCCTATAGTTTTCATTTTGTTTTTCTTTGTTAGTGAATAAAAATCTATTGTATATATAGCCACATTTTTCTATCCATTCATCTGGTGATGGACTTTGGGTTTTAAATATCTAGTATTGTGGATAGAGCAGCAATAAAGATGGAAGTGCAAATATCTGATGTAGTAGAAGGTGTATAGGTGTATGCACAGAAATGATACAGCGTAAAATCTGCATTTATGGGTCATAAAACCTTTCCGTTGTGGCTGCCCTCCCATCCACAATAAATAAGGCTTCCTCCTTCCCCACATTCTCACCAGCATTTGCTGTCATGATTTAGATTAGGGTGAGGTGGAATTTCAATTTGCATTTCCCTAGTGGCTAAGAATGTTGAACACATTTTAGAATATTTATTGGCCATTTGTGTTTTATGTTTTCATAACTGTCTGTTCCTTTATTGAAAGTTCATTTATTACCTGGCAGTTTGGCTCATGTTGGGTTTGATTTTTTTTTATTTGAGAATTTCATACATGAATACACTGGGTATAAATCATTTCTGCCCTCTACTCCTCTTGTGTCTGTCCTCTTGAATTCATTGCATTGTTTTTTGTTTGTGCGTTTATACATACACACTACCAAAGATATGCAACGTACTGAATCCAGTTAGTGTTGCCCGTGTTTGCATGTGTTTAGAACTGACCACTTTGGATTGGGATCTTGTCCCAAGAATTGCTGGGGAGGGACTGAGGCAAGAATATTACAATAAGTTTAAGGCCAACTTGGGCTACAATGTGAGACCTAATCTCAAAAATGAGGAAGAAGAAAAGAAAGGAGAATACTTGACAACCTTATGTTATGCATATACCCAAATTGGAGTTATTATTTCTTGGCCTATGAAGAATAAACTTGGGTAGAAAGAAGGTACTATTTTGTTATGTCTCTGAGCATACTGATTATATAAAAAGTTTTAGTTGAAGTATACTCACTGCAAAAAAAAATAACTACAGCTATGTTTAAATCTATCACTGTATGGTAGTGATTGAACAAATATGTTTGATCAGTTAAATTTTAAAAACGAAACTTGCACTTGGGGGAGAAAAAGCTGTAGTGTTTATAAAGAATAAAACAGAAAAGTAGAACAGGGAAATGAATGGAAGGTAAAATGTACTATCCATCATTACAGAAACGTAAAGATGGATAATGTTGCATTAGGTCAGAAGCTTGAAGTAAGTGTGTGTTTGTGTGTGTGTGTGTGTGTATGTGAGCAGGTGTGTGCGCGAGTGTGTGTGTGTGCCTGCATGTTCAGGGGGCAAGCATTTCCTTTAATACACTGCAGTTCCTCATCTAAGAAACATTTCTTCAGTTATCTTTGAACAAATGCACAAAGACACCAGTAGTAGAATATTCCTGTAATGGTTATAATAACAGAACTCTTAAAATACACAAAATAATTATCAGTAAGGAAACAGTTACTGATCATTTAAAACCACAATCACAGTGTCAGTGAACCCAGTTAGCATGAAACTGTCAGTAACAGCACAGAAAAACTCTGATGCCAAGAGTAGGAAGAAGTCAGGGAAGGGGCGTTACTCCCCAAACATGGCTGTCTGCAGACTTGTGGGATATCACTCTGTGTTTGTATCTTATCCCTCTTTACTATGGGGCTTATATAGCTCACTAATGCAGCAAAGGTTAACAAGAGCATATTAGAAAATTGTGCTGTGTAAACAGAGGTGCAGTTTTTCTTTTGTCCTTATCAGTCCAGTCCTAAGTATTTTGTATTAATTACAAAATATTTGGCCTATAGCTCAGGCTTATTACTAACTAGCTCTTACAACTTATATTAACCCATTTCTATTCTATATTTTGTCACATGGCTCATGAGTTTACCTGTTCTCTAGCATGTCATATTCCTCTGGCAGCTAGCTCACATCCCTCTTTCTGACTCCGCCCGTCTTCTCTGTATCTCCATTTGGCTTTCCTACCTCGTCTTATTCTGCCTGGCTAATAGGCCAATTCAGCTTTATTATTAACCGATGAGAGGATACATGTTCACAGCGTACAGAAGGGTTATCCCACAGCAGTGCTGTTTGTTTGAAGTAAATTATGAACTGAGAGAGTATACCATCATGGTATATTTGTTCATGTCAGTCTCTCTGGTTTCCTGGTTCCCTTTTTGTTTTTATATCTCTTACATTACTGTCATACTATATTCATTCCTTTCCCATTTCTTTTAACTGTGAAAGATACGCAGTAAGCAAACATGTTTAAGCCCTCCCCCAGCCTAAGAAATGGCACATTACCAGACCTGTCAACGCTCTGAGGGAGTTGTTCTCAATGGGGCACCATCTTACATTTCATTTTAGTCACAGCCTTGTTTTCCTTCAGAGTTTTACAATACATGTTTCCTTATATAAAACTTTTTAGCTGTGCTTGAGGGGGTTGCATACCCATTATTTTCCCTTTTTTTTTTTTTTTTTTTTTTTTTGAGATGAGGTTTTACTGTGTAGCCTTTCTGACCTGGAACTCACAGAGGTCTTCCTCCCCTGCATTTGCCACCACATCCAACTCCATGTGTATTTGTAAGATCAAGTTCCTTTGCTTTATACTGTTGAAAGTCATTGCTGGTGCCTGTAGTTGTCATTTGTTCCCTTTATAGCTAAATGTTCATCTATTTTATGTTTATCATAATTTATTTATCATTCTATTTGTGAATATTTGATAGGTTTATTTCTTCCCTATTTGTAGTACTTGTGGATATTTTTTTACACAAATTCTCTGTGTTATATTTTGAGGAGTATAAATACTAACCTTTTCCCAAAAAAAAGGCAAATTAAGTTTCCTGGTCACCAAGAATAATGAGGCTCCCTTTGGTCTTGGCTGCTCGTGTGAATAAAGCACAGCTTTATTTTCTATACTGTTGGTTACTTAATGAGTTTCACCCTTTTCATGCTTTTTCTTCTACAAAATGTTTATGTGGATCCGTTGATTATTCTTATTGAATTAATTAAGTTCTGCATTTAACCAAGCTACATTCCACGAGCAATTACATGGTGGAAGTATGGTTCAGTTTGACTTTTACTCTGTATTGTGACTTCTGGCAGCTTTTTGATAAACTGCTAGGTTTGAGTTGCCAGTGTTTTTAACATCCTTTATTTCTTTTACTGAGATTAACCTTATTTTCTGCTCTTTATAGCACTCCTTCCCCAACAGAAAAGAGTAGTGAACTATGAAAGTAACCAACATACTAAAAGTACCTCCCATTTTTTTTAACATTTCTTGATTTTGAAAAGTTAAGAATTGTCTTACAGCCTCGCTGGCATATGAAATCGTCAGGCTGAGGAAGCACAAGTGTTAGGCTGTCAGCAGTTCTCACCTGTGGGTCTCAAGCCCTTGGGGGGGGCTAAAACCTTGGGAAAACACGGGTGTTTGTATTATGATTCATAACGGTAGCAAAATCAGCTATGAAGTAGCAATGGAAACAATTTAATGGTTGGGTCACCGCATGTGAGGAACTGTATTAAAGGGTCAGAGCGTTGTGACTGTTGAGAAGCCCTGCTCTAGGTGGTAACAGTGTGACTAGGAGAAACAGCAGATTGACAAGCATGCTTTTCAGAAATGGACAGTGATAGTGGTGACTGGGGATGACTGCAGAGTGGGAGACTACGTGACGAGGGCATGCCAAGCTGACCTGGGTCCACAGTAGGTCATACATCTTACCTGTCCTCAGGACAAACTGAAGATAAGCCCCCCAACACTTAACTTTCACTGAGAACTGGCACAAAAGTCACTGGTTGTCACTGTTTGCTTTTCTGATTATCCTTCATGTCAGTTCAAGTCAACATCAAATAAGAATGTGTCTGTGGTGGGATGGATGGTGATGATGGCTGATGACCCAGAGCATCCGGACCTCTTTCTGCTGACGGACTCGGAGAAAGGTGAGTTGCTAGACAGACGGGTTCAAGGTGCTATGGACACTCCTGAGCCATGATCCTGTTTCTGCTGTGTTACCAACAGGGAGATGTTTGAGGAATTGTATCTGTTGGGCTTACTTTTATTCCATATTGTGTTTTAAGCATAAATTAAAAGCCCAAGTAATCCAAATCATAGAGTCTGTACTTTGAACAAAGTCTCAGTATACATATTATTGGCAGTCCTTCGTAGATTCAGTACACAGTAAAGTGTGGAGATGACAGTATTTTGCAGACATATCTAGAGAAGCCACACCATTACTTTAATGAACCATAATCACCTTTACTGTATATGCAGTAGGAAGGTGACTTCTAAATATAACATCTTCTGGCAATGTGTCATAAAGAGTTCTACATTGGGAAACTGTAAACGAGTAGATTTCTGAAACTGAGCACTGTAGTCTATTTTGTTCAGTCTTATATATCTGGCAGGAATGTTGGATGGTATTGTCTTTAAATTTATTGCTTTCTACTTGCTTTTGCTAATTTTAGGAAATTCATACAAGTTCCAAGCTGGCAGCAGGATGAATGCAATGCTGTGGTTTAAACATTTGAGTGCGGCCTGCCAGAGTAACAGGCAACAAGTGAGCATTTCTCTTCCTCCTCTCCAGAATCTGTAACTTTTACACTTTTATTTATGTATTTTAGAGATACACATTCAAACATAATGGCCTAGGCTGGCCTGGAACTCACTAGGATAGCCCAGGCTGGCCTGGAACTCACTAGATAGCTCAGGCTGGCCTCAAACTTGTGCTCCTCCTGCCTTCAGTTTCATGTGTGTGCTACCATACTCGGCTGGATAATTGTCTTAGTAGTGTTTCCTTTTTGCTGTTTATGGCAGTCAGTGAGGCACGAAGTTCACATTTTAGAAAGATAGTAAGTCAAGAAAACTATGCCAAACAGAGTAAAGAGGAGAGACTTGTAGGTCAGGGCAGCGTGTGCAGCTGAGCTTCCCAGATACAGTGATGTTGTCCTGAGCAACAGGAAGGACAGGCTGTGAAGACGGAGAGTGGGGTGCCAGTTCAGGGGACAGCAAGTGTGCAGATAAAACTAGAGGTTTTTAGAACATATGGAGACTCAGAAGGGTGAAATCTAGGTGGTACTTGAACAGAGCTCTGAGTTGTTTCTGATAACAGCTTGAAGTGGGGTCCTGTGGTTGCCGTGAAACCATGGTCATCTAGTGGACCAGTCTCTGTACAGGCGGCTGTCTGCTGTGCTGCTTTCCCAGGTCATCTTGCAGAGAGATGCCCTCAACCAGATTAGCAGACAGAAAACTGCAACCACAGTTATGGAAACTGCTTGAAGCTTTTCCAGTTTCATATACTGGAATCACAAATTTAGGTTTTACAGTATGCTTTTTACCATCCGTGCCTGTCAGCAGACAATAGTATGCACTATAAATAAGAAAAAAATCTCAAAGACACGAGTGACTTTACACAGTCAGCAAACACAAATGCTGGGTCTTTAACCCGAGTGCCATTTGCTTTTCCTTTGTAAGTGTTGTTGGGTGGGCTTTTTTCTACTGCACTTATTTCAGTGATGTTTGAAAAAATTTTTGGTCCAGCCTTTATCAACTCCTTGAAGAACTTAAAATACAAATGTTTTGCCCACATTAAGTCAGTGTCTGGGGAAGAATGAAAGGAATAGATTTAATTTTGCCTAAGACAAATAAGTAAAGCTTTCAGAGTTCTCTTCCATGCTGTGCATGGTCTTTAAATGTACTCAGAGGTACTTTATTTATAAAGATTCCAGCCTGCTGGCGGTGCTGCACGCTTTAATCCCAACACTTGGGAGGCAGAGGCAGGCAGATCTCTAAGTTCGAGACCAGACAAGTGTACAACTCTGACATCCAGGGCTACACACAGAGAAACCCTGTCTTAAAAAAACAAAAGCAAACAAACAAAAGCACCCTCAGGTTTCAAGATTAATCTAGGAGTATATATATATATATATATGTGTGTGTGTGTGTGTGTGTGTGTATACATACCAGCATAGAGAAAGGTGCACATATTTTACTATATTAGTAAACCTTCCTAATATCACACAGATGTGCAGAAATGGTTTTGTTTGTTTTTTTTTAAGCTGTCGGAGTGTTAGCAAATTTATAAGAGAACCTGTGAAGTTTGAAAATTACTCAAAGATCCTGACTCAAATGCAAAACAGTCATTAGGCCCCTGTAAGGCAAGAAAACACCTGTGTCCGTCCTCCTGTCCAGCCATGCCTACTTGAAAGAGCTTATTAACTCAGTGACTTTCTAAAATGATCCAGCATGCTAGACTCACTGCTATCAGATTCCTTTTAAAAAATATTTAAACTGTGTGGTGGCTCATGCTTTCATTCCTACCACTAGCAAGTTCATGGCTGGCCTGTGCTTCAAAGTTGAGACCTTGTCTCAAGAAAGATACATAGGTCAGAATGATTTGGGTTTGGCAAAATATGTGCTAAATGTAGTTTATTAAATCTTATATAAGTTGGAGCAGAGCAGTGGTGGCGCATGCCTTTAATCCCAATACTTAGAGTGAGTTCAAGACCAGCCTGGTATACAAGAACTAGTTCCAGGACAGGTTCCAAAGAAACACAGGGAAACCCTATCTCAAAAAACAACAACAAAATCTTATATAAATTGTTGAAGACCACTTACTTAACAAGAAACCCTACATTTTGTATATAGTATACAATTTATATGTTAAATTTTGAGTTACAGAACCCTCATCTCAGTGAATTTTGAGTTACAAAACCCTCATCTCAGTGAATTTTGGAGTTACAAAACCCTCATCTCAGTGAATTTTGGGGGGGTAATCACTTTAGGACCTTGTGACAGATGTATTCAATGACTAGTAAAACAACTTCTAAGCAATCTGTTTGGAGTGGTTACAGGCAGTGTGGGCTGCTCATGTTTTTTAGGTTCCTACAAACTTGATGACTTTTGAGTAAAAGCCTGAGAAAAAGGAGGTGTACCATTGTTCCTGCACGGAGCAAGGACCTACGGAGAGCGTCTGCCGCATCATCCTGCGTCAGGAAGAGCCCCCAGGCTCCAGCCCAGCCTCTGGAGCTCAGAACCAAAAGCACTAATTTCAGGGAATGAAGTGAGATATTCCCAGAGAACAAATTGGAGTTGCAAAACAAACTGCCATGAACTACGCTTCTTATCTCCGAACTGACCTGTGGAAACCACTGCCTTAACAGAGTGCGAGGAAAACCAACACCAAATAGTGTGTGTGAATCTTCTGGCGGTGCTGTGCTTGGAATAAATTGTAGCTAATTTGCGTTTCTTTTAACTTTGTACTAATTTTGGAGAGGAAACCATCTTTTTTTAGATACACTTTAAAAAAGGAAAAACCTTTCTTATGGATTCCATCAAGAGCTGTTTTAGGTGCAGTGAGAAGTACCCGGTGAGGAGCAGGCCAACAGCCCACCTGCAGGTTCTGCTCAGCCTCTGGTACTGGCTTCCTGGCACTTCCCCACAGCAAGACGTGGGAGTTGAATGATGATAATGCAAGTGTGGAGTTGTGTTTGCGATAGGGTGTGCTTTACTTTGGATGAGGTACGCATTTAAACATTACACTCTGGAATTCAGTGCTGGAAGGAGACAGAACTCCCTGAAGGAGGTACAAGGGCTGAGTGCTCACCTTGCAGCAGGCTCCAGAACACGTGTTTGTTTCTAATTGGGTTTAACTTCCTATATGAATTCATTGCTGGGCCACAATTCTGCATAGGAGAATGGTAATCCCAAGCTGAGGTTTCTATAGAGTTTTCTGAAATCTACAGTCAAGTGGATTCTCAGGCCACAGTGGCTCGGCGTCGTGGCGAAAGCCCTGGTATTACCTGGCCTTTGCCTTTTGCAGTGTTTAATGTGCGTTATGCCAGACTTATTTTTATTGCATTTGTTTTTGTTCAGTATGAGGTTCAAGAGCATACTTGTTTTAAGAGATTTCTTCATATATATGTATGTATTTTATTGTAAGACAAAAAGATTTTAAGAAGAATAAAGGCAAAGTTTGCAGTTCTAGGAGTTAAAAATATAAAACTTTTTCTCTGTATGACTTTCCCAAAATGTACCACAACGTTGGTTTTTTGTTTGTTTTTGTTTTTTGTTTTGTTTTAGGAAGCTTTACTGTCGGTGTCCAACCTGAAAATCATGTTTTGTTAGTAACTGGCCAAACAGTTTTGAGAGTGCTCTCCTAGGCAATAACACATTTAATTCTTAAAATGAATGTTAAACTTGAGATAGCCTAAATTTTAACCAAGAGTTGCACTTGAATAGACCACTATGGGCTACAGCTCTTCATAGTGGCTCCACGTGCAGAGGCCTTGACTTACACCTCGAAGCAAACTGCTCTTTCTTTAGGTCTCACATAAAATTTCTCACATTTGTATCCTTCAAGAATTGTGTGTTTTTTATTTTATCATCAAGTCCATTGGGCTTAATTAGGATATACTGCGTGTACAGTAATTAGCTAAAAAAGAAATCAGTCCAAAAGAAAGCAAAGAGCCCTTTCTTAGTGTTTCTAATTTCAGTAATTCAAATATGTTTGTCGTGTGACAGAAATACATTATTTGGTGTTTCATTGACAAGCAAGGAAAGGCAAATGTTGCCTGTATGGAATGATTTTTCAAATAATGGCCTAAGCTTGCCCACGTTGGGTATACATAGACAGACATTACCGAGTAGCCAGCAGTATTACAGTATAGACTTTGCACATCTTACTTTTGTTTTGCATATTTTTAGCAATCCCTTAGTTCATTTTGCTCCTGAAATGATTTTTTCAATAGTGCCCTTGCTGTTTTTGAGATACTGTGAATGGGAACCCTGTGGCTTTTTTGTTGTTACCTTATCATGCGTAAGCTAAAGCCGTTACATTGTAGGTGAATCGCATCTGTGGAGATTGGCAGCTAGCCGAGGCCGACCTCACCATTTTGCCAAAGAAAAAGCACTGAGATGGAAGATGTGTTCGATGTGCGCAGGTCTAGACACCTATGGGTGTGGAGGGAAAGAACCATGTTCAGATTCAAGTAGCCAGCCCATATTAGCACTGTGCCCTCCAGCTGAAACTGAAACTATTTTTCTACTTTAAAATTTGCTGCAAACATCAGTCATTGCTTTTTAGGATGATTTTTAGAAACTGAGAGATGAGTTACATAGAGCAGGTTGAGTTTTTTATCTATAATTCACAAAATAGTATCATTATAATTGAAGCAAAGAAAATATTGCCAAACTATAGTAAATATTTGAGTACTTTATTTATTGGAGAGTGGATCCTGTTCCACTGAACCTCAGTTGTAAAGTGACTCACAGGCTCATTGTCCATGAACGTTAAAGCTCATTCATCATTTCTCTCATAGTCAAGGAGAACTCTTGAGAAATTCGATCAAAACGTAACATATACTTAGGCTAGTTTAGAAGCAGATTGAATGGGATATTCTATGGCCTGTTGCCAGGTGTATAGTGCTAGCCAAATCTCATTTGACAACCTATTTGAACATAAAGGCTTGTTTTTCCCTAAGTCTGTTTTTAAGGCGTACCTATGCAAATGACTGCATAATGCCCCAAGCATTGTTTTGCTCTTTTGTGTGTTTATTTTTCAGAATATTTTTGCTATAGTGTCTATACTGGAAGGATCAAAAGAGAATTGATGAAATACAGCATTCTGTTTGATTTTGTTCAGTGTGTATTTGTGTAAACAATTCAAAAAAGGATCCAATTTGGGAGTATTATTCTCTCTTTCTCCTTAGCATATGTTTGAGTGGCAATTATTTTTCCTGTGTAAACGGTACCATCCACTGATGTGCCACCTTCTGCATGGTCTGTTGCTATTGGGCCTCCGTGTTGAGTCCATCAGGAGACTCAGAGCTGCAGCGTTTTCCTGCAAGAATAGAGCCGCTTAGACCCCTTGGTAGCTGAAATGGCTGCCTGGGAGTAGTGTAGCTTCCTCAGTCCCTGGGGATTGTTAGCATTTACCTGTCCAAATGACTTCAGCAGAAAGTCTTTTCCTGAGGTTAAATCTGTAAGTTACATACAGTTAAATCTGTGGGACATTATATTGTTGGAAATCAGTACTAATAGACTTAATTCATTGGCTTTTTACAAGAACATGCCTGATGCTGGTTTCCTTCCTGTTAACTGAGGCACATTCCTTTCTAACTGTTACCTTCCACAAACAAGAGGCACCAGTGTTGCTTAATGGACGTTAAGGTTTAATAAAAAGAAATTCCCTGCCCCCCAAGACTTTTTAAAGAATTGCCTCCTTTTGAAACAAAGCTGAACTTCATCGTGCCGGGGCCATGGCAGCATCGCTGCTGCAAGAGCAAGTCTGACTTTCGCCTTCTTGTAGGGCTTGTGTTCATTTTCTCTTTTATATTATTTCTTACTGCCATCCTGGTTTTAGAGCCAGGAAGGTATTGCTTTTTTCTAAGCTTCTGAGACACAAAATTGCTATTAAATAGTATTGATGATAAATTATGTGTGAACTTTTTCAAAATGACTTAAGTACCTTTTGGGTTTGCTTCCCTAAAAATGGCTTGTGTCTAAAGTGACTTTTCAGTTTGAGAATTCTACTGAAGAGATGCATACACTCCGCTTTTCAGCTCACTGAAGATAGCTGCATTTTACCTGTCTCCAGCCATAGTGTGGGTGAAATTGAATCAGTGCCTTACCAGTTTGAAACCAGTTTCAGGGCATTGAGGATGGCTTTAACCATGTGCTCTCTTAACCCTCTGGCTTGAGGGGTGTGCCATCCCTCCCTCCACCCACTTAATCTCACAGCAACCTGAAGATGACTTTGTAGACATCTGGATGCTTGTAGCCCTCCCATCTTAGTTATTTTTCAGATAAGCCTCCCTCCCTGTGAATCTCTTGTCTGGGTAGGTTAAACATAAGTGCACTCACATTGGCCTTTTGATCATGCTGGCTGTCAGGAACCTCCATCTGAGTGTATTTATATTTTGTGTTGTTTTGACCTTCAGTTTAGTGGCAAGGCCTTTTGGGGAGATCTCTAACGGAATAAGATATATACCAAAGGAGTTGTTTCAGTTTTAGTAACACTACTAAAATATTGCGATGGCAGTCCCTTCAGCCAGAAACAAAATTTATTTCAGTTTCATATTTAAGACAGAATGAACAAGCAGTCCCTTACCCTGCTGGTTATTGCTTACTTGAAAATACACAAGAAAGACAGCGCTATTAATAAATCAGGGGCAAGAGACTAGGCTAGGTTTCTCAGCCAAAGCAAAGTTTAGATACATTTTGCTTAGGACATTGGAAAGCCAGGAGATACTTTCATCTGTCTTGAGTAGAAATGCTGTTTTCAGATTCCTTAAAGAATAGACACATAGACACACATGGTTTTGGAGCCAGTGAAAGGGTTAGCAGGTCCTTGGGGGTTATTAGCAAAATTTAAAATCTGATTCCAGCCAATTGGTCTACAAAATAGAGTTAAAGGAGTTCATGGAGTGCTTGGGGAAAGGAGAGCAGAAAATGTAAAATATCAGCAGGAAATTTCAAATTTGTGTTTCAAGTAACAAATGTCATGTCCCTGAAGATGTCACCTGATAGAACTCACAGTATGGTTCCAAGAAGTATTGAGTTGGTGGATGTGGCTTAGAGAGCTGGTAGGACACCAAACTCAGTACCAAACTCGAGTTTCTACAGCTTGATTGTTGATGTTCATTCCTTGACAGCCCACTGAAGGGCCTGGAAGGAGGCGCACAAACATCTGTGGGGATAAGTACCCAATAATAAAAAAGGAAAAAAGAAAGAAAACTTCACAGGCCACATTCCTTCTTTGTCCCAGTTAACTTGAAGTACTTGATGATGCAGCGTTCACATGCACTATGACCTCCCTGAGTGATGTGCAATTTGGTTCCTCTCTGGTTTTGTTTCTTTTTAATATGCAGAAGTGAGCGTGTGATCTTCAGTGTGTTCGCATAAGCTAACTTAAGATGAATTTAAGAACAGTTTTCTGAAATATTTCTATTGAAATAAATGGCTTAAAATTATAGATGGTGTGATGTTTTGTTACCGTATTTGCATTTAAAATACAATCTGCATTGTTGGTTGGGTTTTGTTTTTTAACCTTTCTTTCCTTTTTTTGTTTTGTTTTGTTTTTGTTCTGTTTTTGTTTTTCAAGACAGGGTTTCTTTGTGTAACAGCCCTGGCTGTCCTGGAACTCACTTCCTAGACCAGGCTGGCCTAGAACTCACAGAGATCCTCCTGCCTCTGCCTTCCAAGTGCTGGGTTAGCTGGGTAAACCTTTCAAAAGAAACTAACAAGAACTGTAACTGCAGAGAAAGTTCTGAGTGACTAAGCCCAGAATGAAAGTGTGCTGGCATTCAGTGTATAGAGAGGAATCTTCTACTCTCCCAGTGAACATGAGCAGTCCCCCAAAGGCCTCTTTGCTCAGACTATTCCATAGGTTCTAAGGCACAAGGTTTTGCCTCCAGGACTAGATACTCAACCTAGGACATCATGTTTGCTAGGCAAGCATTCTGACACTGAGGTGTAGTCCCAATTCTTTTAAGACGGAATCTCAGTAACTTACTAGGACTGGCTTTGTAATCCATCCAAGTAGGCCTTGAATCTGGGATCCTCCTGTCTGACCCAAGTAGTTGGGATTACAGGCCCATGCCAAAGGCCAGGTTAAGACTGTTTGTTTGTTTGATGGACAGCTCCATTGCCCAGCCTGTGTAGCTTTCGGTCACTCAGAAGTACAGAAGCACCTGTGTTGAGGTAGGGTCTGCCATCCATAAGAGTTCATCATGAGCTCTGTCTGCCTGGTAAGTATTTGGGGAAGTTTCTCGGGGCAAAAGTGTCCTGTATTGCTGCTATAAGAACCAGCTTTCTGAAGCTCAGGAATTGAAGGGAGTCACAGTGGGGGAACTAATCACTCACTTGACTTTGCTTTCTGAGGGAGTAAAAATTCCCTGGGGCTGGTGAAAAAGGGAAACACACCCCTCCATCGTGTCAAGATCTCACCCAGGGTGTTGATGATGGGCAAGGAACTGAAGCGGAGTGCAGAGTAGTAGGCAGACCACTGGACAGGCAGACAGACAGACACGAGTACATTTTATTATTCTTCCTGTTGCTTGTTCTGCTCTGTTCTTTTTCTGTTCTGTTCTCCCTTGACATTTCCCTTCTTGATGACTTCTCTGTTTTTCCCCTTACAGCTCATATACCCCAGCAGAATCCTTCAAGCAATATCAGAATTACAATGTGGCTACATTCTGTTTTTCAAGTGAGTTATTACAATGAATACAAGTAAAGAGCAAGTTTTCCATATCACATGATTAAACATTTTCCATATTACAGGTAAAAAGCAGATTATCCCCAAGAACCCACTTTTCATTCATGTCCAAGCAACTTGTTACATATTAACAAAGTGAAAGCCAGCAAGATTATTTTTCTCAGCCAGTTCTTTTACTGGCAGGCTGCATTTTGCAGTTATAAAGAAATCATTTTGTTATTTATTTCAAGAGGTAACTTATAAAATAAATTTAAAGAATCACAAATCTAAATTGTCATATATAAAATCAATCAGCTGTTCCTACTTTAAATCCTCAGGGTGCATACCCACTCATAAACAGTTTTTTTTTATTAAATCTTATAAGGAAGATGAGGACAGAAATGAATGCAAGAAATTAATCATCACCTTTGATTACCAACCCATCCTATCAAGAAAAGCATGTCAGCCAGCAATCACCAGCCTGAAGAACTTAAACTACTCTAACTCCTGGGACTCTATTGTTTTCCTTAATCATTAAACTATAGTCTATACATCTCCTCAAGAGAAACTCACATGTCCTAGCTGTGTGACACTTCCTTGGTCCTATTTTCTATCCTCAGCAGCCCCTGCTTTATTGGGCAGGGGACAACATGATATCCTGCCTTTACCTATATTAATATTCCCACTAAAGTAACCTCTATCATAATCCTTTATTACATGTTAAAAACCCTTAATCATCAAAATTCTATTTAGCACTGTTATTGTATAAAATTATTACTTCAGTTAGACAGTACAGCTTAAGAGGAAATCATAATAACCCACAGGTAAGAATGCCCAGTGGAATGGGATGTTTCCATGACATAGTCACACGACATTGAAGGCAATGGGGGTTCCCCCCACACCCATTCTCACCATGCTGGATGCCAGGGGAAAGGCGGCAATGCAGACATAAAGGCGCAGCAGTAGCAAGAGACTGGAGCTGAAGCCCTCAGGGCTTTGCCTACCTGAGGTTCACCCACCAGTGTCTTGCATTCCGGTGAGCCAGAATCCTGAACTCAAGTGCCACCTGCGGCTGCTCTGGCGTGACTACCAGCTCCCGGTAACCATAACTTGGTTTTCAATAATTTCCTCCCCTCTTTACTGACCTCTGAAAGCTCGGTTTCTTTAACCTATAATAGAGTGTAACAGTTCAGGGGGCTTCAGCCTGACCTCCTACCTTGATCATACATCATGTTCCATAAATGCATAGGTCTTCAGGTCTAGTTTACTATATAATTCTCTTATCACTAAGTCACTACAACATTATGTACTATATAACTGGTCTTCTGCGTCTTCAAAATCACCTTAGTTGTCCCTGAGTCCTGTCTCTAAGATAAGCTTGTCCAGTGTAGTGAAAACACTGCTGTCACTTTGTTATTGCTTTGGTCTATAGATGAGTTTGAGAACATTTTTTTAAGTTTATCTGCTTATCTATCCATTTATTTGGGGATTTTACTGCCCCTTCAATATTATTTCTGTTTTCTTCTTAGTGGTTTTATGTATGTTCTTATTAGCTTAAATCTAGTTAAATGTGTTTTTACTTTGACTTTTTTGTTCATTTTCTTTTAATTTCAGAGAATGCTGTTGACTTTTAGGTGCTTATATCCAGCAACTTTTTGGAAGTCAGTTACAATAGCTTGTCCTTAGATTTGTGTTGGAATCTAACTACAAACAGAACGGTATTATTTCTTACTGTCTTTAGCTGTGTGTGTCTGTCTGTCCTGCCTCATTTGGACTGGAGTACAGTGCTGGCTCAGATGCAGTGATGGCGTTTCAGAGTTTCATTACCCAGTCTCCTCAGCAGCCCTTAGGACTGTGTAAGTCAGAGACAGAGAGGCAGAGCCCAGATGGCCCCTGAGCTGGGTTTTTATCACACAACCCAAGTGTGGTTTTGCTTGGCTTTCATTTCGCTTTTAAATAAGCTAATTTTCAGCTTCAGCTCTCTCTTGTGATTCATTTTTATATACTCAGGCCATTTACTCCAAGCTGCTACTGATAACACTAAGTAGAACACTGTGCCACTGGGCATCACAAGGTCTGGAATCAACGCACAGTTTATGCCACTGTTTCTGAACAAGAAACAATCTTGTCCCCCAGGGAAATCATGGCCTGAAGAAACTTGGCACAGCTGGGAAAGGGTCCTCTGGGCATTCAGCAGGTGAAGAGCCGAGGGCTGCTGCTGAACTGCACATGATGATCTCAGCGTCAGTAGTGTCCAGACTCCGAAGCCCTGCTCTCTGCTATCTCATAAATGCCAACTGTTGGTCTTGCTTGTGGGAAAAGTTCAGCTTGTGTCTGGAATTTTAACTCTCCCCTTTGTCATAACAGTTCAGCCTACTGTATCTAGAAAGAGATACCCTGAATTAACAGCACAAGAACATATTCATGGCCTGAGCCATAATGGGCTAAAGTATTTGAGGAGTGCTAAAGAGCAAGGAGCTGGAGTTTTAGTTCTATCTGGGAAAAAAATCAAAGTCCAGAAAGGCAAACAAGTCTGCAGCTGTAGCTCATGTAATTTAGTCTATTTCAGCAACAACAAAAACATAATTGAGCTAAAAGCTAAATACTTCAACCTAAAGCAAATTGAATGAGAACATACTACATGAGAATGTCTGCAAATAATGCCTTCCTCTCTGGTCCTTGTAGGTCTGGAAGGATGTCCTACAGAATTGGCCATCAGTGTGTTAGACCATGTCTTCTGTTAAATCTTTGAGTAAACCAGAGGCTGTTTGCTTTTTGATGATGTGCAAGTATAAAAACATCCTCATTGGGGAAAAAAACCCAAGCAATACAAAAAGCTGTCAGGTGGAAGTTGCCTGCCCTGCTTGCCAGACACCCCTCTATGGTTAATACAACCATTATCCTTGAGTCGGTTCCCAGAATCATTTATTTCTGACTCAAGCCCTGGGAATGTATTATCTAACTCTGGAGCAAATGTCCAACTAAGGACCCTCACGTATATTCCAGCACTGGTATAGCTAAGACCGTGCAAATGACAGTGCTGCCTCAGAATCAACAAGTGATGCAGTTTTATTACACTTTTCTTTTAATCTGAGGGGATTAGATGCAGCATCCGAAAATGACATCAAAGGCTTTCTTGCATGATACAGGTTACATAAAAGTTTGGATGCTGAGTAAACTAGCTGGCATTTTCCACTTTCCTATAACAGATAAGTAGCTCCAGATGTCGGATTCCTCAGCCCACGCCTCTATTAGATGTGACACAAAATTGTCTGTATTAACAACTTTGGGCCTCTAAGATGGTAATTTCATGTGTCCTAATATTTTTCTTAAAGAACCAAGCAAGTAAAACACAATTTATTTCAGTTTTTTAAAAAGAAATCAGTGTTGGGAAAGTTTGGCTGCATAAACACAACTCCTCTGGGCTTGAGAAAAGTAAAACATTTTTCTGATGCAAGTTTTTAATATTTTGACATTATGGGGGACTAAAAGTAGTTCATCTTTAAAGATATATGTATTTTTATTCATATGTATGTGTGAGCCTGAGTAAGTGTATGTGATTGTGTGTGTGCAGTACCCAGAAAGGTTAGAAGATGGCGCCAGGTTCACTGGAACTGAAGTTACAGGTAGTTGTGACTCCACTGGGTGCTAAGAACCAAACTGGGTCATCTGTAAGAGCAGCAAGTGCTCTTAATCACAGCCATCTCTGTAATCCCCTGAAAATAGCTCACTTTTGTCCTTCAGTTTTCATTTGAGAGAGTCACTTTTTCTCACCTG